ATATGTCGTTCTGCTGTTGATCTCTTGTTGAAATTCTCCACTAATTGGTATCAGTCAGATGAATTCAGGATCAGCTGTGTTGTAGCACTGTTCAGTAAATATGCCTTTGGCCAGACATGGTACTATGGACTACTGGGGAAGCTTCAAGCACTTGGTATCTTGGGCTCCATTCTTTAGTTACATAGGGACAGAATGTAAGTCACTAAATTGGTTTCCAGCGTACCACAGGGTAGTGTGCTTGACCCGTATTATTAAATGTGTTCATCAGTGATCTACTTCTCATTCCTGAAGCTCTAGACTATGCTGATGACGCCACTGTAACCTTTACATTCACAAGAGAGGAAATGCTGACTGCTTCAAGGATCATTAATCACTACTCGCAGCAATTTCTACCTACAGTAGGCGTTTGCAGATACATTTGTGTTAAAAACAAACACGGGAAATGGCAATATCTTTCTAAATTTAAACTTCAACTGGGACAGGCGGCCACTTGAGTGGCAAGTCGTAGTTCTCAGTGATGAAGCTGTCATTGGGGATCAAGTTTGACTCTTCAAATGAGCATGAAGAGCCAGGTGATGAAGCAGGACACCCACGAAACTTGCAGCCCACGGCACTCTGTGTAAACATCAGAGGCACATGGCTATTCAATATCCTTCCAGCAAGGAAAAGAAATATTACCGCAACAAAGTGGACACCTCCAAGGAAAAAAATAGACAAGTACTTACAAGAAGTACTGGACCAACAAGGCTGTAGTTAGTATATGGGCCTGAGGGCTGCTCCAAGCAACAGCTTGTTACAATATATATGTATTATACTACGCTTGAAACAATTAAGCGATCTCACGCCTATTATGTTACCCGGTAATTTGTTCCATAAATCAACACTCTTGTTCCCAAACCTGTCTTTACCCAGGAGAGAGAGTGGGGGAGGGGGGGGGTGATAGGGAGTGGGGCTGACCGACTTTCAGTTTCCTTCAGTGTTCTGTCATTCGCCGGAGACAAAAAGAGCATCACGGGTATATGTTGATGGCGGCGCTCTGACAAAACCCGCCAAAGAATGAACACACGAGGAACCCAGCAGGAACCGGCTACACAGCCCGAGGGGTCGTGTGTGTTAGAATCCCAGCGATAGACATGCGCATTCGAACCATCTCGATACCTGCTGGATAAATCACTCTTGTCGGACACATTGAATTTCACAAGGGAGGTAGGGCAGTGTTGCGCGGGGAGGGCCGTAGAGGTGACGATCCCTATCATTAGCCAGGAAGTTTTGGCTGGAGCGTGAGAGGGTGCGTGGTCCAGTATGGCCTGGCACGCGGGACGCCCCCTCTCACCAGTGCTTTTGTCAGGTGCAGGAGTGCTAATTAACGCTTCCGGGAGTGGGGGCTCCGGCAGGGGGCCACGATCTAATTTAACAGATAATTTAACACCGTAGCTTGGGTGCTAGGCGATCACGAGTGTGTTGTCATTAGTCGTTGCCAATGTTGTACTATGTTTTGTGTGGGAGAGGGAGGGAGGGAGAGAGAGGAGGGTAGAGGCACAGGGTGGAGGGAGGAACCATATAGTTTACACTTATTCTTAATCGAGAGCCTTCCGTCTCCTTCAGCGTCGTAGCATCGCCTCCCAAGTTTCACTTAGATCACCAGGTGGCGCTGCAGCTCTCGAAGCTGTGAATGATAGCTGCTTCCATCACCTCTGACTCTTTCATTCCACCTCTTTACAATCTTTCTGCATACTGATATTTCCTTACTTTTCCCTGGTTCATCGGTGTTATTAAGTTAACATCTTCCATCAGTGCCTCCTCATCATCACCTTGAAACAAGATTGTCCTTATTCACTTTGTGAACTCTCCTCGGTATCTTGTACGCTGTCATCATATCTCTTGTCCTTTTCTCATATAATGTTGTTTGATGTAGTTCACTTAGCCTGTCCACACTTCTCTTATCTCGGGTAACTCATGGCAAAGCTTTGGCCCATCTCAATTATCTTCACCATCTAGACCCTTGAAGCATGCCTCCATCACACCCCACCTGGCGTGAACTGCGTCTGGCTACAGTTGGAGTATTAGGAGGCGAGGGCGTGCTTCCACGCCCTCGGCGAAGCGAGCAGACCTCACCACAAGTGGGCCACGCCGTAGCGTGTAGGGAGGCGCGTAGCAACCTACAGCAGCACTGCAATGTTGCTCGTTGGTGGTTATGTGGTGTGACGGCGGGTGGAAGGGACGACGGGCCGCCCGGCCATATTATCAAGTTAGCTTTTGATGGTCTCTTGTCAGGCCACGATGAGGGACGAAGACGGTCTCCATCCCAATGTGACGTGTGTGTGAGAGAGAGACTTGAGATCTCTCAATAGTTACAGTCACTCCTTCTACATGTGACATTGTCACACACTTACCTTATGAGACACTTGTCTCTCGTGAGTATATAGTGAGGCACTTGTCACTCTTCGTGACACACTTATCATTCTTCCGGGCAAGGCACGACCAGGCGGCCAGCACGTGGTGGTGGTGGAGGAGGAGTGCGGGCACCAGCTGAGGGGTCAACTATGACAGCCTGTCATCTTAATGCTGAGAGTGAACAACGACACGGCCTCGCCCGCTTGTTCAACGCGGCCCTCACTAATGTACCAGAACACCCTCAAGTTGATTTTCACCCCCAATATTGTTTTGACATTTTGGCCGCCAGTGGTGTGGCTGGTGATCAATCAATGATGTGACTACCGATCAATGGTGTGGTTGGTGATCAATCAATGGTGTGACTTGTCATCAATCATTGGTGCGGGGGACAATGAATGTTCGCGGCATCTGGTCACACATGCTGTTATGGAACACAAGCATGAGTGTATCTAGGCTAACATATGAGGACTCTTGGTGTATAACCAGAGCGTTCATTACCTGCTGCCACATGTATAGTAGCGAGCGTGACTGATAATAACCTGGTCGAGTGTGTGTGTGTGTGTATGTGTGTGTGTGTGTGTGTGTGTGTGTGTGTGTGTGTGTGTGTGTGTGTGTGTGTGTGTGTGTGAATGTTGAGAGGCGAGGTGCCCTCGTGGTCAGTACTGAGAAGTTTATAAGAGCAGGAACGATGCTGGGGGGGGGCAAGGCTGGAAATATTATCCTGAGTAAGACTTCAACATGTTGGCGCATATTGTATTTATTCATTTATTTATTTATACAATTAGTAATATATATGAAGTAAGCCTAGCCAAGACTAAGTGTGGATGTCTGGAGATGTCATCTGAGGTTTGCTTCAGACATCCACGTGGATGCAAGTGGCCCCATCTAGTTACGTCCTCTTACTGACTTTCTGGTCTCGCTATCATACGGGTCCCACCTTTTATGCTTCAGCTGTGTTCTCCAGGTTCTTGCAATATGCCCATGTGTTCCAGCACCTTAATTTAATAGAGACTGCATTATTCATTTATTTATTATGCGCCCCATACCCATCCCGTGGACAGAAGAGGAAAGGGTTACAGACACACACACTGGGTTCAGGAACTGAACCCCAGAGTTCATTGGGACAATCTTGTGAAGCTAGTTACACAATTGTTAATGTTACACACACACACACACACACACACACACACACACACACACACACACACACACACACACACACACACACACACACACACACACACACACAGCGTGTAGGTGAGTAACTAGTTGAGTACAGTCACAGAGACATTAGAAAAAAAATTCAGTGTCAGAGTAGTTAACAAATGGAATGCATTAGGCAGTGATGTGGTAGAGGCTGACTCCATACACAGTTTCAAATATAGATATGATAGAGCCCAGTAGGCTCAGGAATCTGTACACGAGTTGATTCACAGTTGAGAGGCGGGACCAAAGATCCAAAGCTCAATCCCTGCAAGCACAACTAGGCAAGTACACATACATACATATGTGAACAAGCATGAATGGTCCCCAGGCATATATGCAACTGAAAACTCACACCCCAGAAGTGACTTGAACCCATACTGCCAGGAGCACTCAGCAACTGGTGTTAAGGTCTCCTGTACACCAGTTGCAGAGTGCTCCTGGCAGTATGGGTTCGAGTCACTTCTGGGGTGTGAGTTTTCAGTTATACATACATATATATATATGTGTGTAAATCACGAAAATTAACACGTGATGAAAAATGTGAGTGTCAGACCACGGAGAAAGAATTGAAACAGGAATAAATTGAATTGAAACAGGAAGTACTTAAGGAAATTCCTGTTTCAATTCTTCCTCTGTGGTCTGACACTCATATATCTACATATATTAGAAGGATCTTTTTTAGTATAAAGGCAGTTAACAAATGGAGTGCATTAAACAGTGATGTGATGGAGGCAGACTTTCTTAGGTAAATAATGTACAGTACTGTAATTTTATGTAAAGTAACTCTATTATAATTGTGCAATCATTTATGAATAGTTGTTAAAAATGTATTTATTCATTATGGAAGATTTATATTGGACTAAAATAAGAGGAGGGTTATAGTTGAGAAAACTCTGAAAGGTATATTTCAAATATTAAAAAAGATAAACGTCTTGAGATTGAAGAATATAAAACCATAGGGAGCAGAATTGTCCTTAAATACGGCATGTCAAGATTACATGTACATCAGAGATGTTGTAGCTGTAGTATGTGTGTATTCCTTATGTAAGTGCTCAAATAACACAGCTTGTTATTATTTGACCACAGCATGTTTAGTTATATAGCCTTACTCTGTTAATTTTCAATAACATGTTATTGATTCACATCTGTTTAAATGTATTATTTATACCTCTATCTTAATGTGGCAGTTTTGAATATGAAGAAGTCTAAATTCTAAAATAACAACATGCTGTTGTGTGTGGTATACAGTATAACATAAATACTTTATGATTAAACACAGTTTGCAACAAAATAACTTGAATACAAGTTACATTTTAATCAAATTTCACTTTTTCTTGTTGATAATACAGTAGTAGTAATATGCTTAGCTGTTTTAGCAATAAAAAGTGTTTTACTTTCAGGCGATCTAGTGGATAGCACAAGTGCCCTATCCAACCCTCTGTTAGTAACAAGTGCAGGAGGCCTGATGGTGACCAACCCTGCTCTCTTCACCCACACTATGCTGAGTGCAGCCCCGACGCTTCTCCTGGGAAACTCCCCCGTTCTTGGGTAAGAATCACCACGGAGGAATGAAAATTATCATGTACTCTGCTGTCATTCTAAATGCTGTACAGTATTATATTTAAGAAATTTTGATATATTTTCATTCATAATTTCAACATTAAAATTTATTACATTTGTTTGGGGATCTGTTTAAATTTGGAGTAAAATCATATTAGTTACCTGATATGTACTTGATATACAGTACAGTACTGTATTTATTTTCATTTATAGATTGGTGTATTAAGAGTTATGTATTAATACATTACTGTATATATATAGGTCTTACTGTATATATATAGGTCTATGTGGAGTATTGAAATAATGTTCCTTTTATGACTATAACAGTTTCTTAAGTTGCATTTATATTCTGTCAGATCTAGGCATATTAAAATCAATTTATCAGTGATGTCTCATTGTCTGCCAACTGATGCTAGCAAATTATGTGCGCCTTTTCAGACAGATTTTTATAAAATTTGAATTTGGTAATTTTTACAGGAGTGACTGGATGGGACGTCTAAAAGAACTCCAGGAGCGAGGAGGTCTGGCTGCAGCAGCGGCGGCTGCAGCTGCAGCCAGCTCAGGCAGTGACATCGACAGCAGAGACCTAGAAAATTCTCACCAGTATACATCTCGTAACACTGGCCAACCAGTTGCTATGGACCTCTGTGTTGTCTGTGGTGACCGAGCTTCGGGTAAGTGTAAATTGATAATTGTCAGTTTTCCTTATCGGTACACAGAAGTACAATATAGTACTGTAATAAAAAGTATAATTTTTTTTTTAAAACTGTATACAACATTTTGTAATAATTATGGTTTTTGTTAAAATAAAAAATAGATAGATATTGCATGAAGCTGATTTTCCTTTTGCAGATTAAAATTTTTAAACATCACAAATTGTTGAAAATTGATTTATTATATTGTTCAAATTTATCAGTAAACTAAATTCTTTGATTACTTAATCCCCCCTAGGGCGTCATTATGGAGCCATCAGTTGTGAGGGTTGTAAAGGGTTCTTCAAAAGGTCAATTCGTAAACAGCTCGGTTACACGTGTCGAGGAAACAAGACGTGTGAAGTCACTAAGCACCATCGGAATAGGTGCCAATACTGCCGGCTGCAAAAATGTCTGGCGATGGGCATGCGCAGCGACTGTAAGAACGATACTAAGGATTTGTACAAAAGTTTGTGGTGTTTTGTCTTTTGTTTTCTTAGTCTTAGGCACCCTAATATTAAGTTGGTGGCCAGAGCAGGGGGTCAGTTAGAACAATCTCAGTACAGCCTAGGCTAATGGAAGTAAATTTATTGCTTATTTTTAATTATCAGCCAGACTTATTGCTTGTTTTGTTTCTAATGACAAAATAACATGTGTTGGCTTTTTGTTTGTCTCATGTCTCTAGTCCATTTAACAAATAGTGTAATCATAAATGTAAACTTGTCTTATATTAACCAAATAACAAGCTTTGGACAGATAAACCAAAGATGCCCTTTAGGGCAAACTCTAACAGAACTCTACAAGGCCTCTTAGATCATTTTTAATTTATTTATTATGCATAACAGATGCACACTTTGTTGTTTTGTATAGATTGTTATCGTTATGTTTAGTTTTATTTGTTTATTTTATACAAATTAATTGAATATAGTGTAGTTTTCAAAGTAGATACAATTCTGTAGGTTGAGTTTTTGCTTATAAATACTGTATACAAAAACTAAATACTATTATCACTAGATTAACAGTGCAGATAAAGGCTTAATAATATGTACGTTTGAGCCCTCACCCATAGAAGTGACTGTACAGCTGGTCCCTGTTAGTAGATTCTTTAGAACACCTCATGTTAGCCTCCTTCACCCAGCCTTAAACTTCCAAATACAGTTGTCCTCTGCCCACCATCCCCCTCCCCCTGTGCTGGCCGCCACACCCCTGTGAGCGCACACGCCTCTGTGCATGATGCGGAGATGCTACAGCCACCCTGGTGTCTAGGCCACAGGAGCCACTTGATCTCTGACCCTACAGGACTGGTACCCTCATGATAAAGCTTTCTCATGTAAACATAATCTTTTTGTTTGTGGTAAGTGCATCCAGATTAGTAATTTTGTCAAAAATGGATGCATTGTACTAATTAGCATTTACCATCTCTGAAACATGTCAGATTACGCTAAGATTAATCATATGTAGGCAGTTATTTTGCTTTTGTCGTTTCCTTTCATATGTTAAGGGAATTTTTCAAATAAGAAGTGAACGTGTTTCTTCTAAGAGGCTTCTTGACTACATAGGAGGTGATTCATGATCAAACTGATACATGTAAACACACAAATAGAACATATTCAGCTAATGATGATTTTATTGCAAGTTTATATTGATGTATTTTCATAAAGTACAGTATCATGAATATATCCTTTGCAAAATAAATGTCAATAATTTTGTTTCATTTTAGATACAATATACTGTATTTAATTTTCATTAAAATAGCTCAGAATTTTATATAAAGTACAATATTATGCTTATTATGGGGCTTATATATAATACAGTAGTTGAATTAATTTATGTTAATGAACATTTCATTATACTATTATGCGCTCATTTTTACACTTACTCATGCATGCACTCGCATATATACACAAATATATACATACACAGGCAGTTTTATCTAACATTTCCCATGAAGTATGTTGTCAGTGAGTAATTTTGTATATATTTATATTATATGGAGAGCAAAACATTGCAGAAATTAAAACGTTGCCTAAACTTTGCCTAGCTACAGTCCCTGGAGGTATTAACTGGTGCATGTGTCCATTGAGACACTACACTTACGGGTGATCAGGTCAGCTAAGGTGGTGTGGTGGCATGTATATTTAGCATGAATGACCTGTTTATAAAAGACATTTGGGTAACCATTATACAAGGTCAGGTATGATCAAGGTCACATGGGTCAGCATGTCGTGACTCAGAGCATTCTATCCTTGCCTCTGCCTCATGCAAAGCTGCGTGTTGCTGCTCAGGCGGTGACCAAAGAAGCCTCCCAGGAGTTTAAAATCTTTGACTCATGTTTAGGTCACAGATGGTCCAGGTAGACCATGTGATGACCTTTAATGACTGATGGATATAACTCCCAGGAGGTACTTAGCACTATTTTCTTCCCTGCCCCACCGCTCACTGTAGCTTCCCTTCAGATGACTTGCCTCCCTTGTTTGTTTTGGATGTGCCATATAGAATTACAAGTGGCATGGCATGTTTCTAAAGATATCTCAAACTAGGAATGTAAAATAATTTGGCAGTCAGTGGAAATGGAAGCTTACAGCTGTGTAGTGGTAAAGCATAAGAAGTCTCTTGATAATCTTAAAGGGCTTAATAAATCTGTTGATAGTTGATCCCATTATTATGGATTGCAAGAGAGGTGTCCCATGCTTGGTGCAGGAGTCAACTCTGACTAACACTACCCATCATAGTGCACATTTGGTGTTTGGCTTTATATATTGTACATTTCACATTAGAAGTGTCTGTCTTGATACTTATTGTTCATGGGTAGATTGATGGGGATGTGTTTGTCATAAGTTGAGACAATGATCTTTCTTTCACATCTGAAAACAACTGGAATCTTAAGATATTTTTCTGTCGGTACTTAAAACTTCTGAATGACAAAATGATGACGTGTATCCAGAGTGTTGCTCTTTGGATCACATCTCTATTTTTCTTTGGTCTTCTCTTGTATTTTCACCCTTGAAGTAAATAGTTTTGTTGCCCTCAACACCTTTCCAGTTCTGGGATGATGGCACCACCTGTTTTGGATCAAGTGGAGAATGCAGCGGGAAGATTCATCTGTCACAGATTATGAGATTGTCTTGATGTGAGGTGTCACAGCCTCATACTCCATTTGGAATGATCACTTAAGTCACTCCTTTTATTAAATTATCTTCAATACCTCTTTATGCACCAAAATTTCAATTCCTTTGCACAAGTAAAATCATGACCACTTGGTCTCTTTCTTGAGCTAGAGACTTGGGGTGTCTTTTTATATTTATCTTGTTCTTAATTAATGCACAGTACAAGTATTTATTTTAAAGTTCAGTTATTCATAAAATAAATTAAAGTACTAATTAAATTAAAATACATCTATCATGACAATGATAACTATTTTTTATTTACAAAGAATTTCCAGTGTTTGTATGATGTGATTGAATATTCATTGTTGAATAATTAAGATTAGTTATATAGTGTATCACAATGGCAAAATAAGGTTCCTTTGGTGAGCACAGTACAGTAACTTGGTGCTTAAGAGTACCTGTATCACCTGCCACATCACCATACGTAGAGTAATACATTAAACCTTGGTTTTCCATTTTAATATTGTTGAAATTAATGTACATATTACTAATGCCTCGTTTTTTTAATGGCCATAGAATAGTGGTAATTCTTTTACATATAATAAAAAAAAATTAACTCCTTTCATAAGAAATAAGTTTTTAATATTAAGTGTCTATAAGTTTAAATGAATTAATTATATGTTCCTGTCTGAGAGTTAACCATGCATATTTTCTTGTCCCACCTCTGCGGCTACTCAAACAGCAGTCCAGTCAGAAAGAAAGCCAAATAGCTACTTAAGTACAGGGGATCGGCAAGATAAGGAAGGCAGTCCGCCTCTGTCGATGAATCCTTTAGTGGGGTTTGAGTCGCCCTCTCCCACAATGACTTCCAGCAAGACTCCGGTCGTGGGAAAAGATATTCCCTCACAACCTCCGACGAGCTTGGCGGAACTTCATCTTCAAATGGCAAAGGCCTTTGAGGGTGCGTTCAATATGGAACCCAAAGACACAGGTAGTTTATTATTAAGTTCACTACACTGTGGTCCCAAGATCTGCCCGAAATGCTATGCGTGTTAGTGGCTTTACAAGAATGTAAAAACATCAATGTTATGTACTCTCATAAACCCAATGTACCTTCTTTTTATATATATAAATAAATAAATAAATAAATAAATAAATAAATGATATAGGCAAAATATATATTGTTTTAATGTTGTAATTTTAATCCATATTAATCGTTTTGGTGGTAAGAATAAATCACATTTGTTTGTAGTTTTCATGCCCACAATTTTCATTAGTTCTATAATTTTACACTAGTAATATAGTAATATAGTATCTGTATCAGGGACACGTCAATCACTTCTTATATAGGATTTTAGAAAATTTAAATTTCTCATCTAAAAATACAACAGTTGATGTAGGGTATTCGAACTTCTCCAAGTCTTATTCCATAAGCTTCTGGAATACATTTTATCAATATAATCTATTCTATCAATTTATAAGTGTAGTTATTATGTTGAATTAAAATTTTGTTGTAATATACCTATTATTACATTTATTGTTATGTTAAGGACCTGCCTGAAATGCTAAGCATGTTAGTGGCTTTGCAAGAATGCCAGAACATACGAGAGGAGTGACAGGAAGGCTTCTAACATTGATGAAAAATTTTCTGACATAAATTGAGAGCAGTAATCAGAGGCAATGTATCGGACTGGAGAAATGTAACAAGTGAAGTCCCACATGGTTCAGTTCATACACTGGTAATGTTCATTGTCTACAAAAAACAACCTACCAGAAGGAATACAGAATTATACGAACATGTTTGCTGATGATGCTAAGATACCAGGGAAAGATAAAAAAGACGATTGTCATGCCCTTCAAGATGATCTGGACAAAAAGTGTACGAAATGCAAATGGAATTTAATGTGAATAAATGCCATGTTATGGAATGTGGAATAGGAGAAAATGGACCACGTGTAACCTATAAATTATGTGAAAAAGCTTTACCTAAATTTGATAAAGAAAGAGATCTAGGGGTGGTTCTAGTAAAAAACTGTCACCTGAGAATCACATAAAAAACATTGTGTGAGGAGCATATTCTACACTTTCCAATTTCAGCATTGCTTTTAAATATATGGATGGTGAAATACTAAAGAAATTGTCCACAACCTTTATGAGACCAATGTTGGAATATGCAGCGGTTGTATGGTGCCCATATCATAAGAAGCACTTCAATAAACTGGAAAAGGTGCAAAGACGTGCAAATAAATGGCTCCTGGAACTGAAAGGCAAGAGCTACGAGGTGAGGTTAGAGGCATTAAATATGCCAAAACTAGAAGATAGAAGAAAAAGAGACGATATGATCACTACCTACAAAATAGTAATATAATTCAACAAAATTGATAGGGAAGAATTCCTGAGACTTCAAGAACAAGAGGTCATAGATTTAGACTACCAGTGACTAAATTTATACTGATAACAGATTTAAGTTAACTAAACAAAGCTGCCAAATAAATATAAGAAAATTCACCTTTGCATATAGGGTGTTAGACGATTGGAACAAGTTAAGTGAGAAGGTGGTGGGGTCAAAACCATCAGTTCTGTAGTTAATTTCTACATATAAATTTACAAATAAAAATTGTAAATAATAATTTACAAAATTACAAACACTGATCAAAGCTTGAATTTCAGAATGGACCGAGTCTAGCAATGGTGATGGTCAACGGGACGACGACTCCCCCGCCACTAATGGCGATGGAGACAGACATACAAATGATAAACACGTAAAACGGGCATTGGAAAATTTATCAAAAGTAAGTCATTACAAAAACTTATTTACCCAATACCACAAACAGGTGGTTTTTTTTTATAAGTGATTTTCTTTAAGTTATGAGCAATTAACATTTTTCTCATGTAGTAGCTTTATTTTTTTTGGTTTTGCTCATTGTAAATTTCACTTGAGCATATATGATACTGGCCCATGGGGCATTGTGTTACAGTATTTGGAGAACTTGCAGGAATAGTAATGTTATAATATATCCTGTGCATTTGACCAATAAGTGTAAAAACACTTGGGGTATAATGGGCAGAGTTTCTTTCACCCTATGGCCTTGTTACCTAGCAATAAATGGGTACCTGGGAGTTAGTCAGCTGTCACGGGCTGCTTCCTGGGGGTGGAGGCCTGGTCTAGGACCGAGCCGCGGGGACACTAAAGCCCCAAAATCATCTCAAGATAACCTCAAAATATATTGTGTGTCATCATGGCAAGGTTGCCAGATACCCAGTTTTGAATATACAATATGGCTAAGAATGTTTAACTGCCTAACCTACCTTTATCTAATGCTGTGCATTAGTTCCAATTTTTGTTTTATGGTATTAGTAAATGTAGCATTTGGTACTAAGATTGCCACTGGTAATATATATATATATATACTACAGTTGTGGTTAGAGCATTAGTTGCAATAATTATCTTCATCTATAATGATTTGATGATAATACAAAAAACCAATTAGTTCACTTATCTCTGGGGATGAATTTCGTATGCAAATATGATGCTGTAGTATATAAATAAAAAGATTATAAACTTACAACCTTTTTGAAAGATTGTGGAGGAGAAAGGAAAGGTGAGAAAAATAAATACATGAGAGAGAAGAGTGAATACAGTACATGAGAGAGAGTGAGAAGAAAAAGAGAATACTTAGAGAGGCGAGCAATAGAATAGGAAAGAGAATACACGAGTGAGAAACTACACTGGGAAGACGTTGCTGGGAAGACGGGACACCACGAGCGTAGCTCTCATCCTGTAACTACACTTAGGTAATTACACTTAGGTAATTACACAAGAGAGAAAAAGAAAGAATGCTCAAGACAAGACAAAAGGAGACACTATGTCAATTACTGGATGAGTTATGGAGAAATGGAAATTTTTGTGGAGATGCAGCATTTTGAATAAATGTAATATGTTTTTGTATATATTAACATGAGGTTCTGTGACTAAAGGGATATATGATAATACCGAGCTTAATAAGCAGTGGGAGTGTGCCTAGCAAAATGTGTGCGTAGAGGTTAATGAAGCATGATGTCTGGAACAAATGTAATGTAAAATAAAGTAAAATACAGCAGCAGTTTTTTTTTTTACGTTTACTGTAAATATAAGATTATAAAACTTTATGCCCAGTATTAATTGTTATTATTTCACAGTTAAATGGTTCAGAAAATGGTGACTGTGATGACAATGAAAGCAACAGTACATACGAACTTGATGGTCCATTACTGGCAGACAGCTTGGTACCATTTAACTTAACTGCCCCGTCCCCTATGCCTGCCTACCTCAATGTTCATTACATCTGTGAGTCAGCATCTAGATTGCTGTTCCTATCTGTCCACTGGGCTCGCAATATCCCCACCTTCCAGTGCCTCAGGTGAGAATGTCATCAATATTCATATACACTTTGAAAAAGTTACTAAAAAATTTTGCAGTGAAAAACTTGCTCAGCAATTTTATGATGAAAAAGTTACCCAACAATTTTGATTACATATATATATCACAATTGAAAATTCAATATATATACTGCATTCTCCCTCAGCCAAGAGACACAAGTGACACTGGTTCGGGGTTGTTGGTCAGAATTGTTCACTCTGGGTATGGCTCAGTGTAATCGAATCATGTCCCTCAACACTATTCTCACCGCCATAGTGTCCCACCTCACACAAGCCGCTGCTGGTGAAAAGCTCACGCCATCCCGGTTCAAACAGGTGTGTACTACCCCTATTTTGTGACGTCTTAGTGACTACTGTATATGTGCAGTATTTTTATAGAATTCAGAAAGTATCATATTTTTGTTTTTTGGTATAATAATTTGTCATTCATAATTAAAATGAAATCTAATATTCTGTAATTAGAAATATGATTGAAATTACTGTACTGTAAAAGTATATTTGTTTGAATTAATTTTTCTATAAATGAATTGCCATGTTTCTCAAGTATACAGGTAAGAGTTTCATGGTTTGTTTATTGTATATGCATTTTATTACTGGGTTTTTGTATAGACTACTGAGTATGTTCAGAAAAACATGGTGAAGCTGACCTTTTTATTGGTACATTTTCAGGTTTCTGAGCACATAAGTCGCCTCCAGGACTTTGTGACGGCAATGTCTAAACTTCAACCCGATGAACACGAATATGCTTACTTAAAAACTATAGTGCTCTTCCAATATGGTAAGAAAAAGGAAGCTTGCTAATTAGTTGGATAGCTGAGTTTTTGTCAAAAGCAAATTTGCATTTATCATAATTGTATTGTATTTATTTATTTGTATTCATGTATTTAAGTAAATAATGTCAGATTATGATTTAAGTAAGATAGCAAAGTGCTCTAGTAGAGTACAATTGATTTCTACTCAAACGGATACATTTGTATCAAACACATACTGCAGCAAAGTACCATCAAATGTTTTCTATTTTTTCCCTATTTTATGTGAAAACACTACTGTATTATGTTTTCATTAGTGCAGATGATAAACCCTTACAGTGTGGTGCAAAACAAAACATTGGTGGGTCTCCTGTTCCAAGGATTTTGTTTATAGTTCTTATAGGATTGTAGAGCATAACATTGTGAGTGAAGTATCTGCAGTTTTAAAGTCAATTTATAGATTCCTTCATCAAAATAAAAGTATACGTATTTCCTGGTAACTGCCTGTACACAGCATGTGTAAGAAAGAGATGAGGCTCAATGTAAAGAAATATTATCTTTTCTTTGCACTTAGTACGCACAGTGTACCAGTACAATAATTATTCTGGCATCAAATCAAACCGTAAAGATGCAAAGTGGCACTGAAACAGATCAAGGTTGTTCATGGCACTGACAGTATAATAAATTTTAAAAGATTTTGATTATTAATAGTAGTGTAAGGGTCACTTGATTTACCAGAATGAGGACTTGACTCAGTGCAACCTTTTTTTAGCAGCCTTATCAAAATAGATTAAGTGTTACTTATATGGAAAACTTAAGTAACATAAAAAGGTAAAACATAAAAAAGGAAAGGCATTAGTAGGAAAATAGGAAAAAAAGGCATATTAAGGAAAATAGGAAAGAGGAAAAAAATTGGAAAAAAGAAAGGCTTGTTTCTTGTGATAATCATCGGGGTATTTCACTCCTGTCCGTTACTGGGAAGATCCTGGCTCGTGTCCTGTTCAGTCGTCGCCTTCAACATCTGAGCGGGCTTTCCTCCCAGAAAGCCAATGCAGCCTTTGCACGGAACTGTCGATATGGAAGACGGTCGGCCGAGCGGACCGCACGCTGGATTTGAGATCCTGTGGTCCGGGGTTCGATGCCCCTGTTACCTAGCAGTAAAATAGGTACCTGGGTGTTAGTCAGCTGTCACGGGCTGCTTCCTGGGGGTGGAGGCCTGGTCGAGGACCGGGCCGCGGGGACACTAAAGCCCTGAAATCATCTCAAGATAACCTCAAGAAGATGATATTTTAATATTATTGAATATTAAGACATTATTGAATCTTCATCTTCTTTCGACATTTGAAAGAAATATTATTGAATCGTTATTTATAAAAAGGAGTGAATTAGATAACATTAGTGTAAGTTTATTATTATATAAATTAGATATTTTATAATTGGTAAGATTTGTGATAGGTATAAAATTATATAAGGAATAAGTGTATGTGTAGTACACTCTAAAAATGAAGTAATGAGTGTATGTGTAGTACACTCCAAAAATGAGGGAATACCCAGTTAATAGACACATAATCATCCTGCCTTTATGTCACCCTTATTAAAATACAGCTGGAAAAGATCATCAGGGCAAATTGAGGGACCTATGACAAGCCGCCGGCTTCCTGTCCTTGTCGAGGCCACTAGGGTTAGTGGCCCTCAGGTAAATCGTGTAAAATCCAGTATATATGTATGTATGTATGTATGTATGTATATGTATGTATATGTATGTATGTATATAATGACATACAAAATAACATCTGAAGTTCAGTACAGTGTGGATGAATTAAGGTAGGAACAGGATTATATTTTTACATATCTTGATCTATTCACAGAAAACGTTCAAGGAGGAAAGCGAAACCAGATAGAACGGCTACAAGAGCGAGCGGCTCAGGAGTTACGGCATCATGTTGATGATTCTTATCCAGACACACCTGAAAGATTCTCCAGACTCCTCCTTAAATTGCCAACACTTAAAGCGCTTCAACCGCAGGTAAAAACTAAATTTTATTTTCATTACGCTGTCACAAAGAGAAGTTAAGTACTGGATTTACTCTTGATCTCAGATAAATTCTTCTGTATTCAACAGTACAGTATTATTTAAAGCTAGTGCAGAAATTTTCAATTTTTAATGATTTAGATGCAAAACTTTTTACACAAAGAAACAAATAAAACAAATAATGTGAGAAATGTTTGGAAATACAAATGTTTGTTTTTAATGAACACGGAAAAGCAGCAGTTGAGAGCATGAATGATGGACGCAAATGCAGCATAATATTGGATGTAACAGAAAAAGGGTCTGGTACCAATCATTCTCTTCACGTGAGGTTTAACTGTACAGTATATGCTGTCTGGGGCTTCTCATTAATGATACTGTGTAAGAACTAGGTATAGTTTGGAATTCATTGGTCATATTAATATAGTTTTTGGTCTCATTTAAGTTATTAAATATTTTCTGCAGAGATATTTATAGTTTTTATTATTATTGGCCGATTCATGTTAAATCGTACTCAAGAGTAATTAATGTTCTATTTCCAGAGGGGGGCTAAGGCTCCTGTTTTTTAATTATTATTCTACTAAAGTTCTACTACCAGTATTATTCTACTAAAGTTGTAAAAAAAATTATTATATGTAAAGCTGCAGATTGTTTTCATTTTGAGTTTTATAAAATTGTACAGTATAGTACATACAGTACTTTTATAACAAAAATTCTCTAATGAAAATAATTGACTATTTGTCTTGTCTTTTTCCATAGTATAATGTAATGTAATTTTCTCTTTCACAGGTTATGGAGGAGTTGTTTTTTGCAGGTTTAATAGGGAATGTGCAAATAGACTCTGTAATTCCATATATAATGAAGATGGAGATGGCTGAATAGTTGAACCAAGTGTTGATGGCACAGAATTGTTGGCCAAAGAAAAATTACTGAACGTTGGTGAGTAAATTAATCTCCAGAAAGAGACAGTGCCGTATGTGTGTGTGGTCATCTTCCTGAATTCCCCAGAAACAAAAAGACATTTTCCAAAGTTGTGGTGTGAGGACCTCGGGTGTTGCACTTGTTCAAATACAAAAAAATACATGGTAATGGCCAGGATAGTGATAGGCTGAGGATACACACATTCAGAAAGAAACCAGTGACTTTGTGCTGTGGATTTGTACTTGATGGGCTTTTCGTAACAAAGAGGTCGAGCTTAGAAGGCATTTGTTCACATGTCTTAAAGATTTGTTGCGGTTACACTTGTGTCAACAGCTAAAGCTTTAAATTGTGCTGATTACTGTTTTCTGATCTCGATCTTTTTCATGTTCATCTCCAGTGGATCAGGGTACTTTCATAAGCATTATTTTAAGTATATTTGCAGTTGATGTACAGCATGTTTTTCAACACAAACAGCTCATTACTGTGTAATAAATTAAGGCTGTTGTTTATTATCAATACAGAAATGTGATTAAAGGCCAGTTTTTGCAATTGCTCTAGCGTTCATGGAAGACATTGATCAGAGAACAGATGGACAACTTTGTTACACAAGGCTGTGTATAAGTAAAGCTTATCACTGCATTTCAGAATGTAAACATAAGCTTTATTGAAACAGTACAAGGGTTACAGTTGTTGATCTCGCCACAGCTTACTGCTGAGCATGGAAACTCCGGGCTTCCATGAAATCTGGCATGACCAGCAATAGGCTGAATTAAAACAGGTGCAAAAAAGATGTTATCTTTATAGTGCATATACAAATTTTTGTAACACGGTCAACATTTGCTGGTCAAGTCATTAGTGTGAGATGATTGATGAAAATTGTAACCTAAACATGACTAAAGGCACAATTTCATAATTATATACAGCATGTCACCCATACATGAAGTTTAGAATACATTATCATCAATCAAATCACAGAATTAAAAGATAGGGTCCAGATAACACACTCAAGATTCTCCAAAGGAATGGTCTTAGCATATTTTTTATCTTTCCATACAGGCTAAAAATGAACTCTCTACTAATTAAAACACATGTAACATTTCCTAAAGTAATATAGACAAAGGGCATATAATATATTTCTTGGTTTCAATATATTCATTCTTGTATCCAAATCAAAGCAAGAGAGTTTGGAAATATTAAATATTTCAGATTTATCTGGCTAACAACAATATTTCTCCACAAAATAAAACTAGCAAAAATAAAATAATTCCACTTTCTTTGCATGGTTTGGATGCGAGTGAGAATGAAATGTGGCGAACGTTTGAATTAGTTTAAATCCAAAGTACAGTATGTGAAGAGATCATGTTCTTTGTTTATTTACAGTACAGTACACATGTTAATGCAACTGCAAGGTGTATCTTATTTCTCTTTCACTAATGTTTTGAAATATCATAAGGATTTATTATTTTATTGTAATATTCTGTATATAGGGTGGTGCTTTTAGTGAACATATTGTCATCTGATTATCATTTATCATAATTGTTTAGGATTTTTTAAATAGATGTTACAATAATATTGTCAGTATTATTTGTGAGTTATGTAACATTTTTTTAAAGTCTGTTCTCTTGTTTGAGGCAGTATACATTAAACAGATATTCAGCTGTGTTGTCACAGTTAACATCTTTCTGATTTTTCAGTTTGGTCTCTTCTTTTTCATGTTAATCAGACTTTGGGATTGAAAAATTGTGACTTTGTGAGCTATTACATTTGGGTGCTCCCTTAGGTAAGATCCATCCTAGTTCCAAAGAAGTGGATTATGTGAGTGATGGCAGGCGGACATCAGGGATCTTAACCTATCACAAGTTGAGTCAGATCATACTGGTGCTAGGAAGGCACTGGAGAAAACCTCAATCCAGACTACTGTGACCACAGGAGGTTCACTCTATAAATAATAAAAACCTTTCCATGCCCTAATTGGCATTACGAGGATTACCAAGTAGAACGCTTGTAAACTGCTAGTTAGCCCACCTTGTGCTACTCTGACCACTACCAAATTGCAGTTTCCATGGCAACACTCGGTCTTGTGTCTTGATCCTTATCACATTCCTCCTTACTGGTCCCCATGATGATTGAGCTGACTTGAAGAAATCAGACTCGGTTAAGGGATTTTTTTTCACTATGCTTATAGGTACTTGCTTCTTCAGTTTAATAACTTTTTAAATCCTTCTCGTTTGTGGTTTCCTCGTCTTGAGGTACTAACTTAGATGTGCTAAAAGGATCAAGCTAGGCTCCAAGCCTCTCCTTCTGAAAGTTTAGATTAATGCAATGACTCGTTTCACATGCTTTTATCATATTTACATTTAAAACTTTGAATTGGGTTAGCTTCAAAGACTTCTGCGTCTAACCTGTTCCATACATTGCTAGCTTTGACACTCAAAAAAGGTCTTCCTGACGTTCCTGTGACTCATTTGCGCCTCAAGTTTAAATCTGTGACCCCCTCGTTCTGCTGTTCCAAGCTTCGAACAATGCTACTTTGTCTACCTTATAAATTTCCCTTAGAATCTTAAATGTTGTTATCATATCCCCCCTATCTCTCCTTTGCTCAAGTGTGTTAAGGTCCAATTCCCTTAGACTTTCCTCATAGCTTAAGCTCTTCAACTCAGGAATGAGTCTTGTTGCATATCTCTGGACCAAGGTTTCCATGGTTCCTTGTTTCCAAACTAAGCATTTGTACCCACTTGGGTACTTTCTGTTGCTATGTCACCTGTTGTCTATGGGGTGTGGTTTGTTTGTTCCCAGGTCTTGCCCTGCCTGAGTTCTTCATGGCTGTATTTTTTTCCTGTCACAGACTACATTTGTCCTCCTTTTTCTTAGGGTTAGACAGAGTTTGAATAGGGGTTAGCCAATGACTCGTGCCTTTTTCTCCAGGCCTCTCCTTCGCCCATCATAGCTGGGTGAAGGAGAGTAGTCTGGTGGCCTGTTGCTGGTTACAGTCAGGTGTTTGCTGTGCACTGCTGATCACTATGGAACATTATTACACAAATGGGCAATCCTGATTTGTGCAGCAAGATGGGATGCCATATGTAATATTTTGATGATGGCCAACCTTTTTACCTCCTGCATTTCCTGGTGGGTTCATGGTTCTATAGTGTATGCAGTGTGCTGTGTGTGTGTGGTCTCAGAACAGTCATCTTGTTAGGTCACTCATAAAGCAGCTGCTAAGTTGTGGACTCCTTCACTAAAATATTGAAGTGCTGGAGGACTTGGTTTTCAGCTTCTGTGAAGCCTTTGTATGATTCCCTCGTTTTAGAGGCAGATTTAGCCTGTCTGGTTCAGACAACATTTGAGTTAAGACAGAATCAAAACGAGTTCTGCTCAAGCCTTTTTCAAGCCTTTTGATTGCTTATGTCTCGGCTAATAAGTGTTCAACTTCCCAATCCCTTCCCTTGTTGTGGTATTTAAGCAATTATGTATATTGCTCATTGTGTCTGCTACAGTAGTACTACTGTAGCAGTAGTACTACTAAAAGCAGCTACTGTTGTCTATTGTGTACCATATACTCATACTGTAAACAGCAGTGCAAGAGAAATACAGAAACTACTCCCTTTAGTGGTTAAACCTCCAGCCACTGAAGGTATTACTCAGATCCAAGTGGATGTTATTTGACCTTTCTCTTACAATTTATCTGTACACCTTGTATTTAATTATAATGATGGCTAGTAACAATGCTGCTTGCACTGTAACTGCTTTCTATGACAATATAATATTCATGAGAGCTAAGTCATTTAGGTAATACATAATTTTCAACATAAATTGGATATTACAGGGTAAGTGTTGCTAATTAAAAATTTTGGCTGCACAGCTTATACTTTATGACATATATTTCTCTTTATTAGAATGCATTATTCCAGCTTGTATTCCATCTTGTGTTGGTGTTGAGGTTGCACCACTTCTCACAGCTGAACTTTACCTATGTGTTGTATCCTCTGTACTACATCCAGCTGAAAGTACTGAACTGATTACACTGATTTTATGCTCATCCCCAATATTGGATCACTGTTCAGTCTTCCTTGGCCTAGCAGAATCTCCTTCTTCAGCTATTGCCTTTAGAAGTTTTCCGAGTTTGGTTCCTTGGAGGTTTCTAACTCCAACTCTTGAGTTGTTTACCGACATTTCTGGCCTCTGACACGTTCACATCAACATTCAAGAAATAGGAATGGCTTACACCATGCTCAAGCACATTTTTCAAGAGTGTTCTGGCCATAGCGTCTCAGGATTCAGTCATAAGAGTAATCCACATTTGCAGGGTACCAAATGTGCCGGCAAACAAAATGGGAGGTGGACGGGATCTCCGTCCTGTGGATATGTGACATTTGTTGCATTCCTTATGTGAATCTATTTACATTTGTATGGAATCACAAGCTACCTGTTTGTAACTTTTCCTCATTTGTGGTGGTAGTTCTAGGTATCGATTGATTGGAACCAGTGGGATATGATTTATGTTGCCTCCAAATCAAATGTGTCATCATTGTGTTGCACTTGCATGGCTTTCCTCCGAATAATCTGCTCCAATTCTGGTAGGGCCTAGGTGTTATGCAGCCACGCTTCGAGGTTTACATCTAATTTTTACCTTGCGGTCTAGGGGGGGGACTCCACTCTACAGCTCAGGCAAGTCTTTCCCAGTGTTTTTCTGCAATTATTTAACTTCTGTGTCATACTTTTCCTTGGGTGCATTTAAATAGAATCGCTAAGAAATTAGGCTTTTTGTGAATATGAAAAAGCTTCTTTCTTAGTAATACACTCAGATGCTTCTGTTTGTCCCTTTTGAGTCCCTGAGTCACCTGTACACATTTTTCCTTGGTAACAATCACAGTATGATGAAGCTTGAGGCAGGAGACCCGTTTTTGGCATAGCATCTGCCATCTGGTGGTGGTCATGGGTAGTGGCCAGAGGGACTAATTGGCAATTTATTAAAAAACCACTACTTTACACTCCTTGTGATGTAATGAAAGGCTTGGTATAAACATCAGAGGTCCGCGGTTGTTCAACGTCCTTCCAGCGACTATAAGAAATATTGCCGGAACAACCGTGGACATCTTCAAGAGAAAACTGGACTGTTTTCTAAGAGAAGTTCCGGATCAGCCAGGCTGTGGTGGGTATGTGGGCCTGCGGGCCGCTCCAAGCAACAGCCTGGTGGACCAAACTCTCACAAGTCGAGCCTGGCCTCAGGCCGGGCTTGGGGAGTAGAAGAACTCCCAGAACCCCATCAAGCAGTTATAAGCATTTATGGATGAGCTCTATGAGGTCATTCTGGGCCGCACTGAGCTTTTCTCCAGTGCCCCCCATAGCACCAGTATGATCTGACAGGAATGTTGGCAATATTCCTCTTGCACCAGTGCAGAATCTCAACCTACCCTGGTGGAGATGATTCACTACTTTGGGGCCAGGATAAATCTTGCCTTAGCAAGCAGCTTGCTCAGAAAGGAAACTTTCATTCACTCAATGCCTGATTTTCTTTTTCTATGAAGCAGTCTTTTTTTTTCCTTTTTTAATTTTGTTTTAAATTTTTACCCTGATAGTAATGACATGCTTCCTCTCAACACTACAGAATACAATATTAATTATTAATTTCTGTAATTTACTTTATTTGATGAATTTTTAATCAACAATGCATGAATGAAAATTTCTTTGTTTACTATACTGCAATTTTGTAAACAATTGGTGGATGACTTTTTTTTTTTTTTGCAGCTTCTTTAGCTGCAGAACAAATACACAACTGCTCCTGATAATTACTCTAGTCTGGCCTCATCAGATATGTTTGGCATTATAATGTTGCTTTAGATTAATAATATCTTGATTTTTTTAATTTTTTTAGATTTGTCAAGTCAAACTGGTTGTAACTTAAAATGTTACCTAAGACTGATTTCATTTTAATAATATGTTATTTTAAGACAAGAATTGCAAAAGCAGTCTACTGTTGTTGTATATATTTGTTAATTGGAACGGCTGTTTCCAATGTTTTTTTCTACTCCAAAATTTGGTGTTCTCAAGAAGTCATTATGTGTACAAGTTACAGTAAAATAATGAATACCAGATTTTACACATTTACAAAGATAATTTGTTTAATTATTTGGAATAAAGAAAAAAAATCACTTGCCAGGGACAAAGCCTTGAATGATGTCAGGTTATAGGGCCCACAGCACACAACAAAAATTGATCGTGTTTGTCCTGCTGTTTCAGTTTTTAGATAATGTATTTTTTTATTTACTATTTAAGAAATATAACAACAATGTGCATTACCAGAAAATTTACACAACTACCTTTCTTACTTTTATAATTCTTGAGCTTTATCCCAGCTTGTGGTGGGTTAAGCTTGACACCAAGATTGTTAATTTACTAAAAGTTATTAAAATAACACAAAAGGCTGCATCATAACTGATCTTTATACCAGAATCACACATGAGTGAGATGGCAAAACCCTCGTTAATATGTTCAATTGAACACTTCACCGGTGAAATATTGCACACGTAGTGAGTAAATTCTACAACTCTGGCAGGAACAACAATTATTAGCTGAAAAAAATTGCATTTTTTGAGCTTGCATTCAGTAACTCACTGCTGCTGCTGATGTTGTGAATGATGTAATGACTATTTTTAGTAAGTGAAAAAATTACTTAGCCAACAACAATTAATGGCCAAACTATGCAATAGGTTCAGTCATTATAATATAATCAAAAATAAATCTGTTCAATATCAAACTGTAGATATAAGTTTAATTTTATTACAAGAAATAGCAGTAATCAGTGGCAGTGAATAAACAGGAATTGAATGAATGCAGTGAAATGGTTATATGTAAAGAGTCGAGACAAAATATAACGTATGCTAAGAATTGTTGAGCCTGTCTCAAAATAACTATTTCTTTATTCAACAACACGGTGAGATATAATCCCGGCAATTAAAACATGCAAGGTTCTTCCGTTATATTGAGTGAATTATCAAAAGATAGACTTTCATAATGGAAATGCCTTAAGAAATACAAATCACATTTTTGTATATGAAGATTGATCATATTTTTGTATGAAATTTTGAAAAAAATATAAAAGTTTCTGCTGCTCATGTAGTGATACACAATGGAGCTTCTCAGTTGTGCATACATGTGCTGTGACAATGGAAGGTGAACCTTGGGAAGGAAATACGTAAGGTTCATGATCACTTGTCACACCACATAAAACATGTGAATTTGAGATGGATACAAAAAAGTATGGTAATCAGATACAAGAATGGTTATCAGATAAAATCTATATTTTATATAATTATAACAAACATATGCTTACAAAATGTTGTCCATTGTCTACATTTTTGTGTCTCTTTCAAATTCTTAATGTTTTTATCATTTTTTCCATGGGAAACACCCTTGTATATATCATTTAAGAACAACAATCATCAATCGTTTGTCTATTTCATTATTTCTCTATGATGTAATTATGTATTTCTTAACATAAATTTTAAAAGACAGAGTTTTCATATTTATTATCCCTTTTGAATTGCATAGCACATACACATTTGCATTGTTGATGGCTACAGTGATGGATATGTGTAGTGAATGTTACATTGTGTAGATGGTTACAGTGATGAAGATGGTTAAAGTGATGATTACAATATAAAGAAAACACAGAAAAGCCATTCCAAATTGGGTTATTTTCTACATCTCAGCAACAAGATGTAGTAAACAAGTCAAAAGCACTGTGTGCCCACAACTGCACAAATACCTTAACAAGAGTACGTTGCAAATACAGCATTTAGTAGAACCTCGACAGAAGGGGATTACAATGCTATACGTATACAGTATTAAAATATCAATGGACTGAAAAGAATTTGCAATTGGAAAGTGATTATCAAGCCCAGAAATGTGGATAAGCGGTATCCATATTTGGATGCAGTAGTACAGATGGGGGTTAACCAGGGATTTATACAACTGAATAATCACTTCTTGAAATTGAGGGTTTGGTTAGTTATTTCTTTAGCTTGATTTTTTTTTCCAATTCTTATTTGCTGAGGAGCTTTCAACAATGGTGGATCATTACTCAAAGTTTCTTTTCAATATACAGTGCTGAAAAATATAAATATAAATATATATATATATATATATATATATATATATATATATATATATATATATATATATATATATATATATATATATATATATATATATATATATATATATATGCAGAATAACCACATGTGAAAAATAGAGAATGCTTAACGTGTACATATATTATGTATACTAGTTTCAGGTCAACTTATGTATACTCCAGGTCGAACCAGGAATCTCAGGACTACGAATCCAAAGCGCTGTCCACTCAGCTGTCAGGTCCTAGTATAGCACACATATGAACTATATTAGGCCTTAGATATCGTGTATTGGGCCTAGGACAGTTAGGTTAGTTTAGTTTGTCATTGCAACATAAATAAAAAACATTTCCAATTTGTCCAAATTCAATAGTACAGATTTCTACTTTCTAATTGCATTATACGTCGGCATATGTACTATGGTCCTCATTGTTACTATAAGTACTGTACTAAAGGAATACAGTATATCTTAGAAGAAACGTACAAGACTTTTCAACAATCTCCCACTATACTTAAAGGACATAACTGCCCCATCTTCTGATGGTGTTCCAAAGAGAACATTATTAACACCTCCAAAGGATACCTGATCAACTGAATGTTGAGTCATACATCAGACTGCCAGCACCGGTGTCTAACAACCTCATTGATCTACCAGAAGGCCTGGGACATTTATTCCCTGAACCACCATAAGGTAGGTGGTAGCTGTGCAAGGTTGAGGGGATTGGGTGGGCACCTCACGGTCAGCATCCCTGGTTGTATACCGATTAGTGGATTGTGTTCAAGAGAAAACTTGTAGGATATGTTTTAATACTGTATGAAGGTCGATTTTGTACTGTACAGTATGTACTAAAAAATAGAATAATAAATAAAATGTGTATTCAGGTAAAAATAAAATACAAGATGAGTTACAAAGAGAATGTTGGATTTCTATATAGAGCTTGTACATACTATGTCTAAAGCCACTAATACACACAGCGTTTCGGGCAAGATGCGCGAAAAACGCTTAGAATAAAACTTAAAACTAATTAAGCTCACAGCATAAATTGAATTGAAAAAGGAAAAAAGAATGATAATAGTTACTGTACATGATGGACGAAACTGCAGAAATTTCAACAGAACAGCAGAATTAATTTTTTAACTAAAAAACCAGGAGACTACAATTATCTTAAAGTTTATACATAACGGATATAAAGTTAATGAAGTCGATCAATGATCAATATACAGTATTTTAAAAATAGCAAGAGATAGGTTGACATTTAGGCGGTAAGGTAGATTACATGGAGTTTATTAGGCAGTACTTAAGTTTTTCTACTAAAAACTGGTTGAGAGAGGTACAGTCTTTGACATGATTGGGAAGGTCACTCCACACACTGGGTCCCTTGATTGGTAGAGCATTTCTAGTTTGGTTAAGGCGCACGGGGTGGCACTAACTGCCAGGGGGTGGCACTGCCTGGCAGGGGGTGGCACTAACTGCCAGGGGGTGGCACTGCCTGGCACTGGGGGTGGCACTAACTGCCAGGAGGTGGCACTAACTGCCAGGGGGTGGCACTGCCTGGCAGGGGGTGGCAATAACTGCCAGGGGGTAGCACTAACTGCCAGAGGGGTGGCACTGCCAGGGGGTGGCACTAACTGCCAGGGGGTGGCACTGCCTGGCAGGGGGTGGCACTAACTGCCAGGGGGTGGCACTGCCTGGCAGGGGGTGGCACTAACTGCCAGGGGGTGGCACTAACTGCCAGGAGGTGGCACTAACTGCCAGGGGGTGGCACTGCCTGGCAGGGGGTGGCAATAACTGCCAGGGGGTAGCACTAACTGCCAGAGGGGTGGCACTAACTGCCAGAGGGGTGGCACTAACTGCCAGGGGGTGGCACTAACTGGCAGGGGGTGGCACTAACTGCCAGGGGGTGGCACTGCCTGGCAGGGGGTGGCACTAACTGGCAGGGGGATGGCACTAACTGGCAGGGGTGGCACTAACTGGCAGGGGGTGGCACTAACTGACAGGGGGGGTGGCACTAACTGGCAGGGGGTGGCACTGACAGGGGGTGGCACTAACTGGCAGGGGGTGGCACTAACTGGCAGGGGATGGCACTGTCTGGCAGGAGTGGCACTAACTGGCAGGGGGTGGCACTAACTGGCAGGGGTGGCACTAACTGGGAGGGGGTGGCACTAACTGGCAGGGGGTGGCACTAACTGCCAGGGGGTGGCACTAACTGCCAGGGGGTGGCACTAACTGCCAGAGGGTGGCACTAACTGCCAGGGGGTGGCACTAACTGCCAGGGGGTGGCACTAACTGCCAGAGGGTGGCACTAACTGCCAGAGGGTGGCACTAACTGCCAGGGGGTGGCACTAACTGCCAGAGGGTGGCACTAACTGCCAGGGGGTGGCATTAACTGCCAGGGGGTGGCACTAACTGCCAGGGGGTGGCACTAACTGCCAGGGGGTGGCACTAACTGGCAGGGGTGGCACTAACTGACAGGGGGGTGGCACTAACTGGCAGGGGGTGGCACTAAATGACAGGGGGTGGCACTAACTGACAGGGGGTGGCACTAACTGGCAGGGGGTGGCACTAACTGACAGGGGGTGGCACTAACTGGCAGGGGGTGGCACTAACTGGCAGGGGGTGGCACTAACTGGCAGGGGGTGGCACTAACTGGCAGGGGGTGGCACTAACTGGTAAGGGGGTGGCACTATCTGACAGGGGTGTGGCACTAACTGGTAGGAAGGGTGGCACTAACTGACAGGGGGTGGCACTAACTGACAGGGGGTGGCACTAACTGCCAGGGGGTGGCACTAACTGCCAGGGGGTAGCACTAACTGCCAGGGGGTAGCACTAACTGACAGGGGGTGGCACTAACTGGCAGGGGGTGGCACTAACTGACAGGGGGTGGCACTAACTGACAGGGGGTGGCACTAACTGGCAGGGGGTGGCACTGCCTGGCAGGGGGTGGCACTGCCTGGCAGGGGGTGGCACTAACTGGCAGGGGTGGCACTAACTGGCAGGGGGTGGCACTAACTGGCAGGGGGTGGCACTAAATGACAGGGGGTGGCACTAACTGACAGGGGGTGGCACTAACTGGCAGGGGGTGACACTAACTGGCAGGGGGTGGCACTAACTGGCAGGGGGTGGCACTAACTGGCAGGGGGTGGCACTAACTGGCAGGGGGTGGCACTAACTGGTAAGGGGGGGGCACTATCTGACAGGGGTGTGGCACTAACTGGTAGGAAGGGTGGCACTAACTGACAGGGGGGTGGCACTAACTGACAGGGGGTGGCACTAACAGACAGGGGGTGGCACTAACTGCCAGAGGGTGGCACTAACTGCCAGGGGGTAGCACTAACTGCCAGGGGGTAGCACTAACTGACAGGGGGTGGCACTAACTGGCAGGGGGTGGCACTAACTGACAGGGGGTGGCACTAACTGACAGGGGGTGGCACTAACTGACAGGGGGTGGCACTAACTGACAGGGGGTGGCACTAACTGCCAGGGGGTGGCACTGCCTAGTGTCAGCTGCTCACGTCACATACTCCTTCCCGCCAACGCAGCATCTGAAAAACTATAGTATAAACCACATTACCTTTCTCCCATAATTAAAAAAAATAATTCACTATAAAGGCCAAATAAATATTATAAAAAATTAATTTACCTATAATTTCTTGATGTTAGATATGAATAAAGATAAAGTTATTATTGAAGAGTTAAATTCTCAGTTTATGACAACAAATACTCACCATGGCCGAGAAGAGGAAGTTGAAGAAAAAGGTTCAGGTAATTAATGAATTAGCGGCCTCATACCTGAGTGAGTGTGAGGGATGAGTGAGGGATGAGCGAGGGATGTGTGAGGTGTGTGAGGCGGGTGTGGGAGGTGTGTGGCAGGGTGCAGGTGTGTGTGTGTGTGGAGGGGGGGCCGCTGCTGCTGGAGGCTGCTGGAACTGTGATACGTCACGCCAGTGTGGATCAACAGCAGGTTCATTGACTCCCGAGGCAGCAGCTGACGCAGCGGGGGTGAGACCGCTGGAGGAGCCTCCTTCACACCCCAGCTGACGTGTTGCTCCTGTACCTCTGCTGCTGCTGCTGCACGGACCCTGGCCGGAAACTGGGCGTTCCACAGCCCCGAGGCGCTCAAGGACTCACAAGGGCTCACATATGTGCGCGGAGAGCACCGTTTCCTGGCCCCCGTTTGCTCTTATAGTTGTTGTAGAGGTGGTGAGCAGCGTGTAACTTCCCCCCCCCCGCTGGAGTGGTGCTCTGCCCTCTGCTGGAGGCTATAGAGGTACACTAACTAGTTACTCTTGTGTAACGTGACGGGAATACCCCCGGTGTCGTCTTCACCTACTGCTTCACGCACTTGTGCCTCTCAGCATGTCTAAGAAGAAACTAAAGGTACTTATGACATTACTTACAGGTATTTTTCAGTTTTATAAAAGGGTTTTTATATTGTAATGACCCAAACTTGCTAAGGCATGTAACTACTCGCATCCACCACCATATGGCAATATTGGGTACAAGTCATTTTGTATGCGAGACAAAGTCCAGTGGATTTTTAAACCTACCAAACCCGACATACCCTAACCTAACACAGAATAACCTAATAATACTGTATATACAGTTCCATCTTGGAACTGTATATATACAATACAACAATTACAGTATAAATAAGCTTTGCCAAAACACCTGGGCATGACTTTGCTGTTCTCTGGCAATATCTACTGATTTACTTTAAATCACTCATGTGGCACAGTGGTAAGTGCAGTCCGGTCACAGGTGAAAGGTCTTGGGTTCCATTCCTGCAGTAGAAGTGGAACAAAAGTGTTTAGGCAATGTTTCCTTTCACCTGATACTGCTATACACTATTTGTAATGGCTTAGCACTTTCTCCTGAGAATAACGTAACCTTGACTTGATGCTATGCTTGCGGGGGTTGAGTTTCGGCTCTTTGGTCCCGCCTCTCAACTGTCAATCTACTGGTGTACTGATTCCTGAGCTTCTCGAGTTCTTATCATATCTACATTTGAAATTGTGTATGGAGTCAGCCTCCGCCACATTACTTCCTAGTGCATTCCATTTACTAACTACTCTGACACTGAAAAAGAGTATATGTACTGCTGTACTGTGCAGTACAATATATAAGTGCCCGGACATTGGGCAGCTGTTGTGGGTTGTATCCTGGGGAAGGTCAGTAGTTGGCTTCAAGGAACTTTGATAAGTCTAATAAGCTTCCTGTCCCCAACTATGCTACACTAACTATGGTGAACCACTTAAGCTACACCAATTATGGTGAACCACTTATGCTACACCAACTATGGTGAACCACTAAATAGGGGGCCTGTGGCTGAGTGGACAGTGCTCTGTACTCGTAATCCTGGAGACCGGGGACTGATTCCCGGCGGTGGTGGAAACAAATGGGCAGGGTTTCTTTCACCCTGATTCTTGGTCATGAGTTCGAGTCACCTCAGAACTCCAGTTGATTTTCTCTTTGATATATATCACATTAGTGTGATTTCTTTGAGTATCTCTATTCTTGTCAAAGAGAACATTTGAGAACAGTTTTTGGTGAATCTTGAGAATAGTATTGTAGATGGAAGTGTTATAATCTGCTGATATGCTGAAAGTGAATGATCGATTTACTGTACTTACAAGAGAACAATTCGTTCCTAAGCCATGAATGCTTTGTTAAAAACAATTATCATATTTGACCTTGTTACTGCAGTCATGGGTTATCATAGTTATGACACGTCTCGTATATTTCATATTAACACTGATATTGTTGGTAGAAAATATATAAAATTTAAATCTTTTGTGACTTGGTTTCATCACAGGGTGACCTGGAGCATATGGGTCCTTACACTGCACTGAGGTAGTAGCACACAAGTGATAGTGAGACATTTGGTTCAAGTATTAAATTACTTGTGCTATTCCATTTGCCTGTCAGTGTCTATTCCATTTGCCTGTCAGTGTCTTTGTATACTGTACTACAGTAGTAATAATTTTATTGTAAAATGCCACCTGCAACAGGAATACAAGATATGCAATGTATAGAAATTAAACGAAAGGCAATAATGATTTATTGCATATACTAATGACAGTTGCTGTCACCTGAGCAATGAGGTGCACAAAATCTTACTCACCCTCGATGCTACTGTCATAAGGCTACTGCCATAAACAAGTACAGTACTGTAAAGTAATCATAATATGCTTCAGTTTACATAATTATTGTTAACCATAAAATCTGCGAATCTATCCCCTTCCACCTTCACGAGAATTAAATGCTGCAAAAATTGGGTATTAGTCGTGATTTTTTATGTTGGCTTTGTAATTTATTAAGAGTCCAGTACTTGACTTTTGTTGCATTTTATTCTCAAAAGATCCAAGTACAGTACTTCATTGTTCTTGACAGTGTTAAAATATACCAGAATATTTTCTTTTGATGTAATGCACTTCCCGACTGAAATCTAATGTTTCTGTATGCTCGACCCCAGAATGATTCAAGTTCACATCAAGTGAGTTTGTTTATTATTGCATCTTGTATATTTTAATCTTATAGCACCAAACAATCCTCTACAACCTTCACCATCACTATACAACTATCACTCCCATCAAAGCAACACAATTGTCACTACAACCACAATACCATCACTACAATACCACCACCACCACAATACCACCACCACCACAATACCACCACCACCAATGCTCATAATACCACTGCCACAATGCCACCACCACTACTGCCACAATACCACCACCACCACTACTACCACAATACCACCACCACCACTACCACAATACCACCACCACCACTACCACAATACCACCACCACCACAGTGCCCCCACCATCACCACCACAATGGCTCTACCAACACCACAGTTCCACTACCACCACCACATTGCCATGACCACCACCACAGTACCAACCATCACCACCACCACAGTGCCACTGCACGTTATATGACAGAGTACTGGGAAGACGGGACACCACAAGCATAGCTCTCATCCTGTATCTACACTTAGGTAATTAATTACACATACCTCTTACAGTTTTGTACATAGGCCTTAGATAGGCTAGGTTATTTGGTTGTCTACATTTGTCAGACTGGAACTGAATGAAGCATGTCTTGAGTCTTATCTGTAAAGATAATTTACAGATACAGATTATGCCAGTTGACAGTGGCACAAAAAACTTGATATGGGGATGGATTTCTGTACACGATGATCGACAGTTGAATATTTCTACGTACACGATGAGCTCGACTTGGATGGGTGTGCTGCCCTAATACTCACTCGTCCCCCCACGGTATTTGTGAAAATGTTTTTGTTAATAAACACGAGTTATTTCAGGACATTCCAATACCTGTGGAGGAGAAGCCCACTAAGCAGGAATATGCAGTAGCCACCTACTTGAAGAAGAACTGTCCCACTAAGAAGACAAAGTTTCTCAACCACCAGGTTAACTATTTCTATGGTATGTTAATGATGCTCTTGTAGTGTAGCCTCTTTCTTCACTGTAGGTATAGATGAAATGACCTTTTATTACCAAACTAATTAAGATATATTTAATGTAATTTGTTTTTTTCCATGGTAGTATTTTCTTAGTCTTGCACACACCACACCTTTAGTAATGTTTCACTATTTCTCTCATTCATTATTTCAGCTTTCCTTTGCTGTTGCCTACTATACTTTTCTGTGGGACTTTTAACCTCACCAAATCACAACAAAATTAGATGTAAATTATTAAGTGACACATTCAAGCCCGTGTTAAAAATAAGTGAATATCTAAATAAATTAGACAGTGTATCTGGAAGTCAGGTAATGTAATTAGACTTTAACGGTACCGGCAGCAGCTGCTGTTTTTTTTTTTTTTTTTTTTTTAAATTTATTGCAAGGTAACATTTTCTAGTAAGAAAGAGCAAGTTGAGAGTACAGTATATAAAAGACAATTCTCTCAACATAAATATTTGTATAATTAATGTATGGATATGTTATGTTTCAGCAAACAAGGCTGTTGACACACTTCTGGACTCACCATGGGCAACAGGCAAAGACATTCTCTTCACTGATCGCCAATCTGTGGTCGACTACTGCAATAAGTAAACATTTACTAATTTTCTGAATTTTTTTGCACCGAGAGCTTAGTTTTGAGTACTGTAATAATAATAATCTATGCTTTAATAGTCCATCATAGTAATGTACAGTACAGTGTACTCTCACATAATCCCAATGAATTGGAACCAGATCTGGTACAGACGGCAATGTTTCTGATGATGCCAATTTTTAGGTTGCTGTCCTTATTCTTTATTTTAGATCAAACTAATTTTTAGCATCTTGGATCTTTATTATTCACTACTGTATATGCACAAATGATTTTATACTTTATAAGGGTATGAAAAATTAACTGGCAACAGGTAAGCTAAAATATCAAAGAACTCATTCCATTTATAAACAAATTAATAATAGGAAAGCAACCTGAGACATAATAATTTAATGTACATTATTTGCTAATTGCTTTGTGAATGTTGTGGAAGTTTATGTTGAGACAGGCTTAAGCTTTTGTTTTATTCATATGCCATAATACTACACCGTACAATAGTACAACTGTACCAGAGTACCATATTACAGCTCTTACAAAGGGGCATACATTTTGAACTTAGCAACTTTATTGATAGATACATTTAGGATCATCTTTGAAATCCTGTAACCACATGTTTTTGTTTTGTTTGGGTGTTCACTTGTTGTTATGATTACCGTTGTCATCATTATGAGCATTGTTGGGAGGAATGTTGTGTTTTAGGTTGTTGAAGCAGAAGTTCTTCCATCGTGCCAAGAAGATCCCCATTACTGACAAGGATCTTAAACCCAAGGATCTGAAGAAGAAAAAAGAAAAGGAGAGAGAAGAAAAAAAGAAAAAAGAAATTGAGAAAAAGAAAGAAAAGGAAGAGAAAAAGGGCAAAGATGACGAGAAAAAGGAGAATGAGGAGGAGGCGGCGGCAGAAGAGGAGAGCAAGCAAGACGGTTCCAGCGCAGACAAAGATGAGAAGGATGTAAAGGAGAAGGATGAAGAAAAAGAGAAGAAAAAGAAGAAGAAATCCAAGATCAAGCTGGACATGCACTTGGAACAAGTAAGTCAACACAGTAAAGCCTAAGTAAGCTAAACAAATCAAAACAGAAGCAGTAATGAGGAGCAATAGTTGTAAGTATTGAAAGTTTTCAAGAAAGGAAGTTTGATGTACAAGGTTTATATTAGACAAAGCTGACAAAGTGAGAATGAGTGTAATGAAGAAAATATAAGAGCAGGAGTGATAGAAACTGAGAGGAGTAAGGAAGTAGTATGTGTGTATCAGTGAATGGCAGTTAGGAAGGAGTATACCTGTTACTGAATTGAAATAAGGAAAGGAATATCTCTTTATCAATGAATGAAAAGTATTATAAAGCAATGACTTTTCATATTGTAGTTAAAGAAGTTTGTACTTGAAATGCAAGTGGCAAAGGTGCCAGTTTTGCTCTTGTATATGCATCATCAAATAGAAGTGAAGATGAAAGGAAGATTTTTTGTAGGTAGTGAAGAAAGCAAGATTGGTAGCATATCAAGGAGTTAGATAATAATTGTGAAAGTGATTTTTAATGGTAGAGCAGGAATATGCGTTGTAAATGACATGATAGGTATTGATGGGAATGTCTGTGTACCTGGAGTGGGCTCTGGGAGTTGTTCTTCTCCTCAAGCTCAGCTGTTGCTTGGAGCAACTTGCAGGCCTACATGCCTACTATAAAACCCAGTTGGTCCAGTACTTGCAGGAACGTGTTTAATTTTCTCTTGAACTCGCCCAATTCTGTACCAACAATATTTCTTACGTTTGCTGAGAGGATATTGAATAGCTGTGGACCTCTGATGTGTACATCCTCTGAATAGACCTATGGCGCCTTAACTTTTCACCGGGTCTCTTCTGCATCCCCCTACCGTATGTCTCACTCCAGTATGTTGCTATTTTACTGTGCAACTTTGAGACCTGGTCGTTCATTATCTTCATATGTATATTATGTGATAACTCTCATCTCCTTTCTAGAGAGTACAGTTTGAGAGCTTTAAGATCGCCCCAATAATTTAGGTACTGTATAGTATCTATGCAAGCTGTATCAGTTCTCTGTATTCCCTCAGTTTGAGGAATGTTTCCTACTTGGAAATGGGAGGTTAGAACCGAGTCTCAAAGTGGGAAAGCACAAGTGATATGAGTAGTAGGAGCATTGTAGGGGAATCTATGAATTTGAAGGTTTTTATCCTGTCATTTTCCTGACTGAAGAAAAGATGCAAAGATGATGAGAAAAAAGAGAATGAGAAGGTGGGTGGTGGTGGTGGAAGAGGAGAGCAAGCAAGAAGCTTCTAGTGCAGATAATAGATTCGCTTTGTTATACTCAATAAGTGTTACTGTATAATAAGTGAGGACATCTTGAGTATTAGTGGCAAGCAAGCAAGAAAGAATAGATAAGGGTGATGGGTGGCAAGAGGCATTTGGGAAAAACAGAAAGCAATATATAGATAGATACACAGTACAATACCATGCCTCATGGTGGTACATGGCATATAACAGGCTAGATCATGTACTGTATAGAGAAGGCTTTTCTGTCATCATGCTCCCATCGAGGGGGGAGCCCAGAGAGGAAACAAGACATGAAAGAATACGTTACAAAGATATGACTTTGATGGATATAAAATATTTTTCAGGTGTTTGTTGATGGGGGTGATGCGTATGTCTGGATGTATGATCCTATTCCGTTCTGGTACTATATCGCAGGGAGTTTGTGTCTATTTGGCGCCATTGCTGTTTGTCTCTTCCCTCTCTGGCCACCAAGTGTTCGGTAAGTTCTTGTCATTTTTGTCATTACCAATTTGCTTTGAATCTGTGCATTATCAAAAAAGTAGTGACCATAATACTAGCATCTAGAGAAATTAAGAGTTATTAAGTACAATATTATGTAAATAATTGTCGAGTTATTAAGTACAATATTATGTAAATAATTGAATATTAAATAAAAGTGGTGTATGGGCACAAGAATGGACGAGTGTGCTAAAACATGGAATAAAGATTTGCACCACATTTGAAACACATACATTGTGTGGCTACAAACACATACATTGTGTTTGCGTAGTTCATGGGCTAGCTCAGAAAGCAGGCTTAGAGCTAATAAAAGCACCTTTCTGAACAGATTGTTTGGCTGCTGCTCTGTTCCCATGTGCAGTTTTATTCTTCACATCATGTAGTATGTGTGGTGGTTGTTTGGGTCTGGTAACCTTGAGGTATCTGCTTGATGGGGGTTCTGGGAGTTCTACTCCCCAAGCCTGGCCTGAGGCTAGGCTGGTAGGGTAGTGCTGATGCCTAGTCGTGGGCAGTGCAATTAGCCAATCAAGGAAATGTAATTAAGAGACCTCTTTTTAAGTCACGTTGACTGTTAAATAGGTCAAGAAAGTCAACTCTTCCTTGACCTATTATTTCAAGGGAGGGTTTTAGAAGGGTTTGATTTTTTCAAGGGTCTTTAGTTAATCATTTTGGGTTAAAAAACATCTCCATCGACTCCCTACCATAACGAGAATGTTGTCTTTCATGACTACAAGACCCCATCCTATAGAGACAGCAGATTTTATCATAGGGAGCTGCTAAATAATCTGCCCAGAAAGGAGCTGATCTTGTTAACAAAAAAGCTTGATTTTTAACTTGTATACTAAGTACTGTATAATTGTATTTTATTTGTCCTTTTTCAGGAAAGGCGTATATTATTTGAGTGTGGCCGCAGCCGGGTTCTTGGGTGTGATTTTGGGCCTGGCCGTGTTGCGATTCATTGTATTTGTCATTATCTGGGTGTTGACAATGGGTATACATCATCTGTGGCTGCTGCCCAACCTTACGGAAGATGTCGGATTCTTTGCATCGTTCTGGCCTCTCTATCATGTAAGTTACTTGAATGTCATATTGTGATATATGAGTAGTAGTAGTATTTGCTGTTATATTTTCTGAGATGTGCTAAGGGAACTTCCAAAGAAGAATGGATTAAGTAATTTTCCATTACTACTACCATTTTTCAGGATTCCATTGATTAATTTTTGTGTATATGGTTAAAGCACAGTAGGCAGCACATTTTTATCTCCAAATGTAAAATCACCTGCACTTGGCACTGTTAGGAACCTTGCATTTACAGTACGAGTACCGGGGCGCAGGATATGAAAAGAAAAATAAAAAGAAGAAAAAGATTAAAGATGATGATGAGGAGAGGGAAGAAGAGGGGCAAGACAAGAGATCCGATATGGATGACACGCTTGACAGCCCAGACACGGCAGCAGAGACGGACAAACACGAGACGGATAATGATAGGTGAGTGGAGTGACCTTTGCATTGTGGTGTATTAATGTTGGTGTAACCTTCAATGTGACAATAATTTATTTTCTAAAAATAGGTCCATACATGTTTAATTCTAGTTTTTGAGATGTAGTAAAATGTGTTACTCTGCACATGGATTTGATGACAGATTGTGTGCAGTGTTTAAATACAAAAATTATGACCAACCGCATAGTTAGTAGTACTGTATGAGAAAATATGGCCTGCATGTTGACCAGACGAACGACTTGAGAATGGTCCAAGACGGACCGAAACATCGTCGTCCCTTCACCTTCTAGTGTGTGCTCTGGTCAACATTCTTCAGCCACGTTATTGTGACTCATCGCCTGTATATGGCCTGCATGTAAACAGTGAGAAGTTGCACCAGCAGGTCTGTAAGGAAATAGTGATGCCTTGGTACTCAAACTTAATTTGTTACAGCAGGCTGTTTGTGTGCTGATTTGAATGCTGAATAAATTTTCCCATGAGGAATAATGTAAATTGAATTAATCCGTCCAGACCCAAAAAATTACACTTACAAAAGCATTTTTATTTGAACATAACATGCAGTTTACAAGCATGCATAAATTATACAGAAAACCTAAATAAATAAAATAGATGAAATAAGTGGAAAATACCCAATAATTTACAGTAAAGGTTACAAAAAAAAAAGTTGTAAGATTTTGGTTGTCAGGAAATGTCTTTGGGGAAAAAATAGCAGAAAGGCAAAAATGATACTGAGAAGAATTCCAAATTATAGGTCTAACTGAAGGGCATGCTAACTTGTATCCTGGAGGCAACAACAACAACAGTAATCTGATGCATGATGGCTGCACCCTAATGAAAATGTTCACCATTCACAGTTAAAAACATGCAATACTTACCGCTTTTATATATGTTCATCTCGATACCAGTTAATGGAATGGATAAGTGTATTCTCTGTGTTAAACCATCACTTTAGTTGGATATACGAGAGAACAACATGAGTATCTTACAGATGTTGCCTTATTAATATTACTGTATTGTTATTGACCCATTTCCCACTTTAATGTGCTGGGGAGGGAAGTGGGGGGCACCAGTGCAGAGGCAAACACACTTATCCATTCACCAAATCTTCAACACACGACATAGTATCGAGGACAAACAGCACCAGCACACATGTGTAAGTCCTCCACAGCAGCAGGCTACTTCGTAAGACGAAATGCACAGAACTCCTTGTGAATTACTGTATCATATACAATACAAACAAACAGCTCCAACTTTATTTACTGCTGCCATATAGCTTTTGTAGTTACCTCATATGTTATGGTTTTCATACTTTAAACTCCTGCATCTTCTCACACACTGTCCATCATCATCATGATATTTTTCTCCTGACTTAAATTTCTTAAATTATTTAAATATTAAATAAAAACCCAGTAGCTTTGTCTTGATGTTTTCTAACAACAAATGATTCTCAGATTGTCCATTTCTACTGCTATAATTCATGATTTTCAGCTTTTCAATCATTGTCTTGTTAATGCCCTTTGAAAACTAATGCCTTTATTAATTTTTATTTTTTTATATATACAAGAATTGTTACATTTTTGTACAGCCACTAGTACGCGTAGCAATTTGGGCAAATCCTTAATTCTATGTTCCCTGGAATACGACCCCCACGAAGAATCATTTAACAACCAAGTACCCATTTTACTGATGAGTTAAACAGAGGCTACAATTAAGGATTTGCACCCAGTAAATCCTCTCCGGCCAGATACGAACCCAGGACAAAGAGCTCGCAGAAAGCCAGGCAATCGTCTTACCACTACGCCACGGAGACTGTTTGTACACTATGTTCTCTCTTTTTATTTTTTGTAGCAGTCGATCACATCATCTTCTGACATAGTACCACTATTCCATACTTTCCAGAAAGTTCTCCATTAAATTTAATCATTTCTGCCTACAACTTATCATCAAGAGTTTTCCCCATATCGTCATTCTCCCTATTGTGCCTGCATCTTGCATTATACATGTATCAGCTGGCATACTATCTTTCACTTCTGCCAAGCTTGGTGCCTTCATAGGTGCCGCCTTTTGGTAACTACTACTAAAATCTCACACCGTCAGACCCAATCATATTTACAGTAGCCTATGTTACTTCTACCAATTAAAGTTTTCAAATATTCTCTGCTCTTCTAATCTCATGTTCACAGTTTAACATTCTCCTGTGTTGATCTTTAACACCCATTTACCCCCTCCAGCAGTGTTAAAACAGCTGTTGATTCTGACTCGGAACATGAATGGTTGATCTATTCTTTGGTTATCCCATTGGTTTAAGAGTTTTGTTGATAAATGATAATTATCATATTTGTTTATATTTATGGTTGTTATATTTTTCCAGGGTTGCTGAAGAGCAGACCGCTGCAAGTGAAACAGATTCAGAAAACTCAAACTCTCAGGCATTTGAAATGGTTGAGAAAGATGAAGTTGATGAAGTCGAATTGGAGGAAAATGAGGAGATACCTGAAAAGGGGAGTTGTGTTCAAGATTTGCAGAAAGAAATATCTAAAGATGATATAGAAGATGAAAAGACCACCGAGTCTTAGAGAATACTAGCCGTACTTAAATTGATGATGCAAACCAGTGAACGTGATTGTTGACTTTGGTTAATGGCATGTACTCTAATGTAGAAATCTCATGTTTAGTATTATGCAGTGTACTCCAGTTTTCTTTATTTTGAGATTTGTGACCAGATAGGTGAAAATGATTTTAATTTGCAAATTGCTTTTTTTCATCTTTATAATTAGATGTGGGTTTACTTTTTGTTATACATCCAGTACTTGCGAACAATGAAATTTTCATTGAGATTTGGGCATTTCATAACATGCATTGTTGTTATATTATTATTGTAATATTTTTCAGATTATGGAACTGTTATCCAAGACTTATATTATGTGGCACGAACATTTCACTACCAAGCTTGTAGTCACCATTCATTACCTAACAACTCTTTTAAAACACCGCATGTGTGACGATAACTGGCATTTTATTCCCACACGATTATGTTATGTTATTGATGCATCATAGCTTGGATGCTTTCTCCATATGTAAGGTCAGTGATAGAAATACGAATTGTAATTACCGTACTAATCTTTGCCGTTCACGCATTATAAAAGTGCTTGCAATTCTGTTTCGGTGTTCAGCACAAATTATGTAGCGGTTATAAAAGGTTCAGTTTAACCTTTTTGGCATTTTGGGGTGGGCTATGTATTCTTGTTTTTTTTAAAAACCTATATTCCTGACCTGTCTCTTCATTACTACTTCCAGACTTATTGTTTAGTTAATTTTTAATACGAAGAGACTGGGGGGTTAGATATTAGACAAAACTTCATTGTGTTTTTGTTCAAGAAGCAATATTTAACCATTACGTAGAATGAAACGGTAAAATTATTTATTTTATGAATGCTGTATTCTGTAATTTTCTTTTCTGGATTTAGCTTGGGGGATTAAGTGAACAAGGAAACAGCTGGAGGTAGTTCATGTGTTCTGTTGTGGTTACTCAAGTTCATGAATGGGAACTCTTGGCTGCATTGCATTTTTGTACCTATATGTATGGAGGGTATTATTTTGTAATTATTAAATGCAATACTAACCTAATCTTTTTAATTTGTACCTATGATAGGGGCATGAAACAGAACAAGAGGAAGGGTTGAAGTGAATTTCCACGTAAAATTCACATTTCTATATTTCCCAGGTAAAATTACCTCTTGCAGTATCGAATCAAAATGTGTTTGAAAGCAGGTATGCTGTATACACCAAGTGGTTTAGCTTGCTTTTCAAGTGTGTATAGAATAAACGTATGATAATCCTGAATTCTTGGGTTAAAAGTCTACTTGCAGGTCAGAAAGTAAGGTAGATTGTAGCCCTAGTGAGTGGCAATTAAGCTTTAAATCTAATACAAAAAAATGTGGTGGAAATATTGAAAGGAATATATTGATCAGTATTCTGGCACCCATATTAATATTGTGCAAGTAAAATTGATATGGAGAAGACTCAAAACTATTATTTCTGAATTATGATAAAACAGTTTGTATAAATCTTCAAGTGCATGTGGTTGTTTATGCATATGACATGTGTTTTAGTAATAACTTATGGTACATACAGAGTGCATTTGATTCTTACAAGGACTAAGTCATCTTTGTAGCTTAGCATCCCTTAATTTTTTTTTTTAGTAATTTCCAAGTGCTTGGTCTTCTGCCTCGACCGACTTAAGTACACTTTGAATAATTCTTTTTCATTAGTTCATGCTGCTTATCCATGTCAAAATGTGAGCCTGCTAGCAGCACCCCTTCCTCGTCAATATCCACCAATTACTCTTTGTCTGTAATCTGCCACACCGTATGCACGGAGGACACTTCTACATGATTCACAACCGTGTTCACATCACACAGCTTCACCTACATACTGCTGTTGCATTTATTGTACTAAAATATTATAATGCTCAGCTGGTACTTAATGCAATTGTCTTCGGGCCAAAGTTGAACTGCTGGCGCCAGGGAGCCCCCTTCCCTCATTTCCCCTGGAAATACAACAGAGGCTATGGACCCTACTTGTCCAGATGGATTTCTTTGTCTTTTGGAATGGGTCTGGTGCCCACCAGAAAAGAGCATTTATTACATTTAATGCTCAATTCATTCGTGCCTCATTATCAATAGGTTTTTGTCTGTAGCTCATTCATAATGAGTACTAAAAACAAATTGGTTTGACAAATGGTAAAATAGTTTATTACAAAGTAAAATTTATATACAGCAATGGCAATACTACAATCTTCCCTTTATATTTAAAAAAAAAGAAAAAGATCTTTACATTAAGAAAGAGGCTCAATGTCACCATCAATATAAAAGTAAACACTTTACAGTTTACTCACAGTATATACAAATTAGTAACAGGGTAATAAGGTTTACAATACAGTACCCATTTTCTATATTATTCAAAGTATTGTAATTTAAAAGCTCAAAGAAATTTGTCTTAACATTGCCAAAATCTGTGATCAAACTTACAGTATTAGTTAAATCACGTCAGAATTATTGTTTAAAAACTGGGTGCCTATAATTATCATAAAAGTGTCGTACAGTTTTGCTTGCAATAGTCACAAAATTTTACATTGTGTAGCACCTGCATTATTCCCAGACGTGTTAAATCTTGTATCTTTATCTTTCATATGCCTGCACATTCACCACGCTGCAGCTTACCGATAACATCATGGAGCATTTTGTTACACAGAGCAGCATAGGGATTCATTTGTACGAGCTGTAAATGAGAAAAAGATTTGTTACATGAATACTGGCAAGTATTGTATCAGCAGTGCTGTATATAAATATACTAATTTAAGAATGGGTTCCATTATACATGTGATTGTTCTTAAAATTTAGCAGAGTTGGCTGCTGTCAAGCACAGTACAATGAAAGATGTCCCTAAACAAGCCTTTATTACAGATGATATAATAAAGAAATGTCCTTAATTGGCATTTCCTTCAATACAGGTTGGAGTCATAATTCATCCATCCCCTTGCTTATTTTAGTTCTTTTAAAGATAGATTTTATGTACCAAATTCCATCTGGAAATTGAGCAATTTTGAACCCCTGGACAGTTTTTCAGCATGGGAAAGTTTTAATATACAAATTATGGTTTCAAATATAATTTAACTTGCCTAAGTAAAACAAACTGCTTAAACCATAACAAAAATTCTGACTACCTCTTCCTTTTCAGCCTAATGCTATAAACTATTTCTTTCACAACTAAATAGGGTAAAGCAAGTGTACCAAACACACAATTATTGATAACTCAATTGTATTCATGGCACAATTCCAATCTCTACTACATAAAGGAGGAGGATTGAAGATTTCCACAACCAGTGTTTGGGGTATGTCAGCATTTGTATATACTGTAATTGGCAAAATATCTTTTTTTTTTTTTTTTTAAACTTTGCAGGCGAGGGGGTGGTAATATTAATGTAGTAATAAATTTTGGTTCTGGTTATCTTGTGCTCATGTCAAATATCCCACAAACACTTTACGAGTTACAGCAACATATTCAGAGTTGCAATAGCTTACTAAGTATTAATGGGGTGACTGATAAACAAAATACAATCTGAAAAAAAATTATTTTCAGAAGTGACATCATTACTATCTCTCACCTGCAAGAAAAAAAATGTTATTCCATTACATACAGGCATTCAGTGTCTCATGGTTTTCAGTACTTGACTACATGTATAACATGCACATAAATCTTCAAATAAGAAATTAATCAACATACAACCGACACTTATTGAGAGAAGCAACATCATAATTAACTTACATATTCATTAATACACTGCCATATTATGTAGCCATAATACATGTACCTTATTAAAATCAAAGTTTTTATCAGGAAATTCACAAGGAATAAACATGCATAGTAGCTTGTACTGAGACATTGTACATGGTCTAGTGTGCCTAGCGATGGTCAGTTACCACCATTATTATAGCAATGTATTGCCATGTTTATTTCACATACTGTATTCTATATTTATACTTGGGATGTAAATCAATACACTGACAATATTTAAAGTCAAATCTTTCACTGGATTGTTTACGAAAACCATGAAACAATATTTTCCCTCTTAAATTATGCTCAGTGATACTGTACCAACTTCCAGCTTCAACTAAGTTTTTAACATCCCTTAAAAAAAAAATTCACTCATACTTAAATACATTTACTTCAACTCTAAATTAATTTTCTCACCTGTGCTTTAGCAAACTCTGAACCTAAATTTCCAGCAGCCTGGAAATCCTGGCGAGCCTGGTCATCATTACCATGGAGGCGGTGGATCATGGCTCTCTGAGTGTAAGCTTGACATGCCGCTCGACCCTTGCCTTGGGAGAGCTGCACAGCAGTGTTTATGTCTGTCATTGCCTCTGTTAATGAAAGAAAATTAAAGAACTGTTTGCTACTAAATAACTAATGTATGTACATACAGTATAGTGCAATTAAATACTATATATTGATACTACTTGATCCTCACCTTCCACCTTCCCTTGAAGTCTGAATGCCTGTGCTCTGTTGTTATATCCTGAGGCTCGTGCAGGGGCTATCTCGATTGCTTGGTTGAAGAATCCCACAGCAGCCTCTACATTACCTGCTTCTGCTGCTTTTACGCCTTTGACTTCAAGATCTTTGGCCTCCTCATTTTCTGGAGATATATCTTCATAATCTATTCAAAAGAAAAACTATGAAATATGTTTCCAAATGAATTTATTCTAAAAATGTTTTTCTAGCAATTTTAAGATGATTTCACAAGTAAATTTACTAAATATATAAATGTATGAAATTAAATATTTTTGAGCATGCTATTTTGTTTATTGTGAATCAAAACTGCTACCTTGCAACACTTGTTGATTAATGATAACCAAGAAATATGCTTCCTAAAATGTATTATAAAATAAGTAAGAGTCAAATGAAGGCAATATGCTAAATGGGCTACTTCATATTATGGATTTGAAAATAGTTTACAACAGTACACTAGACATGTTACATGGCTTTTTGATGAATGAACATTTTTCTTAATATGGCACACATCTTTTCCATGAAATACCACCATATCTAATACCCTTTTGGTTTAAGTACTGATTTTTTTATTTTATGTGGCTGTCTATATGTTACAGCAGATGGCTGCAGTAATGTAATGTATATAACTTAAAATATAATCCCATACACTGACATTTATGATGCTCACGTTGGGCAACACTCAAAAGATGTGCGCATCAGATCCACAGACTATATTTTTTGTTATTTTCCAAATCTACAGGCTTCTTTTCTGCCACTGCCTTCACCTTTACCTTACCAGCATTCTGTAGCTTACACTATAGCACCATCTACATCTTACCAACATTCTGTACTGCTACATCTACTTCCCTCTACATTCTCCCAATATCCTGTACTACAAATTCTTACACTGCTAACATCCTGTACTAATATTACCCTCACTTTTCTACCATCTTATAATAATACCACCATCACCTTCCCAACATTCTGTACCACTTCCATCCACATTTTTGCCAGTGGCCTTAGCTACCACCACTTGTACCTTGCCAACATTCATGCAACTGCCACCCATACCTCTCTAATTTTCTATAGGCCTGCTACCACCACCTGCATCTTGTCAATGTTCTGTGCTAGTGTTCCCCCCTGCCCCATATGTCGTCAACTTGCCATACTGTCACCACCTACACCTCGTCACTGTCCTAAACTGTCACCCACATCTCTCAAACATCCTGTTCTACTGTTACTTACACCTTACTAACATCTTATACTGACCCCACAAACACTTCAACCATATATCACATTGCCACCTCTCGCATGTCGACAACACAATATATTGTAACATGGACTACTCACAGAGTTATACATCTGAAGTAGGTTTAGGAGCGAATTAAATAAACATTGCCATATTACAAGACTACCTGGGACTTAAAAGTCAAACCAAACAACTTTATACAGTATTAATAAACAGCTACAATATTTAGTGCAGTTTACAGGCAACATTACAAGAATTAGTTAGGGCCTTAGAATTAGTTATAGCCTCGGGAATGCCTATGAGCATATTTAAAAGTGAATTCCATGGTTCTTTTTTACTTCCAGTTGTAGAGGTTTTCATTCAGTAAAATGTGGGCCCTTTTTTATTTGAAAACTAGATTTTGAGGCTTGTGCATGGTAAATATGCTAAATGTGGTTAAAGCTCTTTACAGACAGGTTCTGTTGGCTATTGCTCTTCATATGATAAATTATAATTTCACTCAATGAAGTTGGCCCACAGAGCATGGAAAATGTTAGGTATGAATGATAACATAATATGGCACCAATCATGTTTCTAATGATTTTTGTAGATGAGCGCAACAGTACAAGAAACAGCAAGAGGCCTTGAGAAAGTCATTGAGCATATTTAAAACTTAATTCTTTGTTTCATTTTATTTATGAGAGTCCTCGATTTTTTTCACAAATATGGGTCCCTTTTCCTTTGAAAATAAGGTTTGAAGGCTAGAACATGGGAAATATGGTAGATGTAGTTAAATCTCTACAGGTTCTCTTGGCACCTGTCCTTCACATGACACGTTGAAATTAAAATTTTACTTAGTGAAATCAGCCCATAAAGTGTGGGAAATATTAAGGTATGAATGGGAACACTTAGTATGACTCCAATCACATTTTTGATGATTTTTGTAGATGTACTCAATATTACGAGAAACAGTTGGAGACATTGAAAAGCTGTTGATATTTAAAAGCAAATTCAATGGTTTATTTTCATTTTCAGTTGGCAAGGTTTTCACTCACTCGGGTGAGACTGCTACCTTTCGAAAAATTAGTTTTAAGGCTGGGGATATGAGAAATAAGCTAGATGTGGTTAAATATTTTTGCAGACATGCTCATTTGGTAGTTGTCTATTATATTACAAGTTGATATAAAAATTTTGCACCGTTTGTCTATTATATTGATGAAAGCCTGGCCAAAACACTATTCATGCTAGTGGCTTTACAAGAATATAAAACTTCAAGTCTCTGTACTCTCATAAACCTAATGTACCTTCTTGTATATAAATAAATAAATATTAGAAGTTTGATATAAAAATTAACCCAAAGGGCATAGGAAATGCATCCTGGGGGTATCTCCACTGACAAGGAATCCCTTACTACAATAAATTGGGTTATAATAATAATAATAATGTTTATTTAGGTAAGGTACATACATACAAGAGATTTTACAAAGATTGATGGAATTATAGATAGAGCTAGTACTGTACATACAATGCCTAAAGCCACTGTTACGCAAAGCGTTTCGGGCATGAAAAACATTAATGACTAAATCTTAATACTAATTATAGTTATAGTATAGGTTTGTCCCATATAATTCGTCGAATGGAGGTCGTACAATGGAAATACAAATAATTGGCAACAACCTGAACATCTAACTATACATAGAACTTTAATATATAATATTAATTTATACACAAGAACAAACTTATTTTAATACACAATATATATAAAAATTGATGAATGCATTTTGGAGGACGGCAGCTGCTTTAAATGAGCCCGATATTAAAAATTGGTCAAAAACGGCCTTAGTGACATTGATTTATACATTCTACTTATTAGGTACAGTAGCATAAGTTTGCTGAGGACAAAGTATAAGACATCTTAATTTTTTAAAAACACTTGCAAAAGATGTAAACAAGGTGTTCCAATATGGCGACCAAATGTCTTAAATGTCGCCGTTTGGTTTAGCTAGTCCCACTCCGATGGCCGCCCCCCCTCAACCCACAAGAAGTTGGAAGTCACTGGAAGTTGATGAACGTTACCTTGAAGTTCCTGCGGTATATCCTCCTCGTAGACACACTCCCCCACGGGCAGCAGAGGGTTGAAGATGGAGTTGAGAATGGCTCGGTCACCCGCTGACGACATCTTGGACTGAGAACAGGTCAGGTAAGAGTCTCCATGTCATTACTTGCGTCTTATTCTTTGTTCCTGTCTATATTTATCGTATTGACATGCTCATATATACGTAGCAGTCGGTTCCTCGTTAATTTATTATGATAGGATTCATGTGGCCTTGTGGTAAGTAATTGTATGTTGACTGGAGCGGATAGTTAGTGTTGAAAAGCATTGGGTTGTTCAGAAAGGTAATCACCGCTCATTTGGGTCAATAACTGCAGATTAGCCGGTGATAGAGAGGACAGCCTCGCCCTGCAGGTCTTTGATAAGCTTAATAGGCGTCCTGTACCAGGCACAAGATAATGCTTATCATATTACCTCGCCCAGAGCGAGGTAACTTTAAGGTAACTTCAAGGAGGGTGTCTATTCTCTCACCCAACTATGGACCGGACGGCTCAAACAACTTATACCGGCGATCACACGCCAAATATACAAAACTGTGCCATAACTAGGAAACGTAATGTCAAAAGAAAAAGCATCTTAGAGGCTAATATCAATAATTAACTAAATATCACTAATGTTGAGGGTTTTAACTGAGTTAATTTATTAGAACCCGAACCCATGGAACTTAAGAGCGGTAGTTTGAAAGATATATATATATATATATATATATATATATATATATATATATATATATATATATATATATATATATATATATATATATATATATATATATATATATATATATATATATATATATATATATATATATATATATATATATATATATATATATATATATATAATAAGTTTAGGAATTGGAGGAACTTTCTGCCATTTACCCATAAAGATGAGAACGAGGTCCATAATAAACTAATTAAACTGACTAAAAATCTCCCTCATACAGGGCCGCTTAACTGGCCGCAAGTTAATTAGGCAAGTTAATTAAAGTTAATGTATTAAGCAGAGGCGCTTAATACGTGTTAGTGGCTTTGCATACATGTAAGAACACCACTGCTATGCACTCTCGCAACCCAATGTACCTTCTTGTGTATAAATAATTAAATTAACTGGAATCACGGCGCCATATAAGCTGCTATATTGACCGTCCAAACCTATTTAAATTGTCTTAACTTTCCGACTCATGATGAAGATTAAACCTCTCAGGAGATGGCATGAATAATTAATAAGTGGGAGATTATTTTTGGAGTGAATGTGATCTTTGGTCGTGAAAGGATATACTAAACGCGCATTTAAACTGTAAGTCCTTACTATGTGGCTGCTATCGCGAGGGAGGATACTGCTTGACAATATTTTTGAGTGTGTATTTACCTTTCAATTTATTAAAATTAATGTTAAATGCGCAGGGGAGGAGGGGGGGGGGGTATGGTCGTTTCGGACACGAGACGATTCGACGGAGTTCGTTTTCTGTTTGTTAAAACCTTGTATATTATTATGCTAGGCTGTATTAGCTTAGATTAGGCTGTAATGGGCTCAATTGAGTTGAGTTAGGTTAGGTTGAGCTAGGTTAGATTAAGTAGGTTTCAAAAGTCCGCAAGAGAATCGTCTTGTATACGCTATGACTTGCATCCCCCCAAAAGGGGCAGGTATATTCCGCTATTATATAAAACTTGACTATGCAAGGTCACAAAATATTTTCCATAATGCATATTTTTTTATTTGGGAGAGGGGGGGGGAATAAACATTTAGTCCCTGTTTATCACCAATAAATATATTAGTCTAATAAAACCAAAGCGTGTTGCAGACCCGTGATGGGACTGTAACTAGGAGAGGCGCAGGTGGGGACCCCACACCTCTCCCAAGACAAGCATTATGTCTTAATACTTACAGTTTGTGGAAGTTGACTCCTCGGGGCTGACTTCTCGCTGGACGGGCAGTTTGGTAAGGCTTTAGTGAGGGGGATCTTTTGGCGTCAGACTTGTCAAAATTGAGATAGAAGGCAGCTGGAGAGACTAACAGAAGGGGCTTCTACCAGGATGATTGAGGGACTGGAGGCTGGGGCGACCTTGGATGGCATATACTGGCTACACCAGGTACCTCACTTCCCCCCCCCCTTGCCTTCCCCACTCTTAACCCTCTCCCCCACTCTCCCCCTCTCCACTCTTAACCCTCTCTCCACTCTTAATTAAGCCCACTCTCTACTCTTAAGCCCACTCTACTCTTAAGCCTCTCTCCACTCTTAAGCCCACTTAAGTTAGTGTGGAGTCCCCACTCTCATACTGTTACTATCATTATAACTAAATATATGGTGTACAGATAACAAAAGAAAAATGTGGAAACGGAAGGCTTATTTATTTATATATTTATTCACAAGAAGGTACAATGGGTTTGTGAGATTACATAATACTGGTATGTTTACATTCTTGCTAAGCCACTAAAATGCATATATAGCATTTCGGGCAGGTCCTTTATCTAGCATATCAGGTAAGATGAATAGGTACATTGTGTAGCAAGATTTGGTATCAACATACATATATAAATACAATATAAATTGACATAGGTGATACCCCCATTCCCATCCTGTGGGCAGTAGTGGACTCAATACCCATCCTGTGGGTGGTACTGGAACCCATATCCATCCTGTGGGCGGTACTGGAACCCATATCCATCCTGTGGACGGTAGTGGACTCCATACCCATCCTGTGGGCGGTACTGGAACCCATACCCATCCTGTGGACGGTAGTGGATCCCATACCCATCCTGTGGGTGGTACTGGACCCCATACCCATCCTGTGGACGGTACTGGAACCCATACCCATGCTACAGGTGGTATTTTTTTGGATAAACACATAAACACAGTCATAACAAGAAAATATCAACATCAGCATTAACATTAACAAGGCAAGAAACACATGAGCAGAACTCAAGAACAGTATAACTAACACAAATAAACAAAAGTCGTATAATACACAAAATAGAAACATAAACATAGGTAAACACCTAAACTCAGTCTTAACAGAAAGAGCAAGATAACACCATAAACCAACAATAACAAGGCAGGAGGAAACCCACACTGCATATATGTGCAGTGAGCCAGAATTCGGCTCGAAAAAAAACCCGCTCATGAGTCAGGCTTCCCATATTTGCAATATTTTGAAAATTGCAGGGTGAGGTTTGGGGCAAAATGTAACCCATCGCCGTTTTTCGTAATTGGCCTATTTTCGGTATAAAAAATCGTAATTTCAAACTGCAAATATGTGCAGTGAGCCAGAATTTGGCTCGAAAAAACACTCATGAGACAGATTAGCGATATTTTGGAAACTGCAGAGGGGGTTTGGGCAAAATGTGACCCATCGATGTTTTCAGTAATTGGCATATTTTCGGTATAAAAAAATCGTAATTTCAAACTGCAATCATGTGCAGTGAGCCAGAATTTGGGTCGAAAATATCGTTTATGAGTTAATTTTGCGATATTTACTATATTTGGAAAACTGTAGGGGGGTTTGGGCAAAATGTGACCCATCGCCGTTTTTCGTAATAGGCCTATTTTCGGTATAAAAAATCGTAATTTCAAACTGCAAATATGTGCAGTGAGCCAGAATTCGGCTCGATAATAACACTCATAAGTCAGATTTGCAATATTTTGAGAGCTGCAGGGGGGGGGGGGGGGCAAAATGTGACCCATCGCCGTTTTCAATAATTGGCATATTTTCGGTATAAAAAGTCGTAATTTCAATCTACAAATATGTGCATTGAGCCAGAATTTGGCTCGAAAGGGAAAAGTTGGGGGAAAGTGGGGGAGTATATGGAAAGTGGGGGAGTATGGGGAAAGTGGGGGAGTAAGGGGGAAAGTAGGGGAGTAAGGGGGAAAGTAGGGGAAAGTGGGGGAGTATTGGGGAAAGTGGGGCTCGGTTGGAGCCCCCTGGGAGGTGTGGGGGTTCTGTTGGGGCCCCCTGGGAGGTGTGGGGCTCTGTTGGGGCCCCCTGGGAGGTGTGGGGCTCTGTTGGGGCCCCCTGGGAGGTGTGAGAGTTCGTTTGAAGGACCCCTGGGAGATGTGGGGCTCTGTTGCAGCCCCCTGAGAGGTGTGGGGGCTCATTTGAGGCCCCCTGGGAGGTGTGGGACTCTGTTGGGGCCCCCTGAGAGGTGTGGGGGCTTGTTTGGGGCCCCCTGAGAGGTGTGGGGGCTTGTTTGGGGCCCCCTGAGAGGTGTGGGGGCTTGTTTGGAGGCCGTCTGGGACGTGTGGGGCTCGTTTGAGGCTCCCGTGGAAGTGTGGGGCTCGATTGAGGCCCCCTGGGAGGTGTGGGGCTCGTTTGGGGCCCCCCTGGGAGGTGTGAAGCTCATTTGGAGCCCCCATGGGAGGTGTGGGCCTCGTTTGGAGCCCCTCTGTGTAGTGTGGGGCCCGCTGGGAGGTGTGGGGATCTGTTGGGGCCCCCTGGGAGGTGTGGAGCTCGTTTGGGGCCCCCAGGGAGGTGTGGGATTGGTTTGGCCCCCTGGGAGGTGTGGGGGCTCGTTTGGGGCCCCCTGGGAGGTGTGGGGCTCTGTTGAGGCCCCCTATGAGGTGTGTGGGCTCGTTTGGGGCACCCTAGGTGTGGGGCTCGTTTGGGGCCCCCTGGGAGGTATGAAGCTCATTTAGAGCCCCCCCCTGGGGGGTGTGGGCCTCGTTTGGAGCCACTCTGGGTAGTGTGGGGCCCCTTGCGAGGTGTGGGGCTCTGTTGGGGCTCCCTGGGAGGTGTGAGGGGTCATTTGGGGCCCTCTGAAAAGTGTGAGGTTCGTTTAGGGCCCTTTTGAAGGAGTGGGGCTCGTTTGGGGCCCAGCCTGGGAGATTTTGGGCTCGTTTCGGGCCCCCTGAGAGCTGTGGGTCTCATTTGGGGCCCCCCTTGGAGGAGTGGGGCTCGTTTGGGGTCCCCTTGGGAGATGTGGGGCTCGTTTGAGGCCCCGTAGGAAGAGTTGAGCTTGTTTCGAGCAACCTGGGAGGAGTAGGGCTAATTTGGGGGCCCCCTGGGAGGAGTGGGGCTCATTTAGAGCCCACTAGGAGGTGTGGGCCTCGTTTGGAGCTCCTCTGGGAAGTTTGGCCCCCCCTGGGAGGTGTGAGGGCTTGTTTGGGGCCCCCTGGGAGTTTTGTGGTCTCGTTTGGGGCCCCCTGGGAGGTGTGGGGCTCTGTTGGGGCCCCCTGGGAAGTGTGTAGGCTCGTATGGGGCCCCCCGGGAGGTGTGGGGGCTCGTTTGGGGCCCCCTGGGACGTGTGGGACTAGTTTGAGGCTCCCGTGGAAGTGTAGGGCTTGATTGAGGCCCCCTGGGAGGTTGGGAGGTATGGGGCTCGTTTGGGGCCCCCCTGTGAGGTGTGAGGCTCATCTGGAGCCCCCCTGAGAGGCGTAGGACTCGTTTGGAGCCCCTCTAGGTAATGTGGGGTCCTGTTGGGGCCCCCTGGGAGGAGTGGGGCTCATTTGGAGCCAACTGGGATGTGTGGGGCTCTGTTGAGGCCCCCTGTGAGGTGTGGGGGTTCGTTTGGGGCCCCCTGGGAGGTGTTGGGCTCGTTTTGAGTCCCTTGGGAGGAGTGGGGTTCGCTTGAAGGACCCCCTGGGAGATGTGGGGCTCTGTTGGGTTCCCCTGAGAGGTGTGGGGGCTCGTTTGGGGCCCCCTGGGAGGTGTGGGGCTCTGTTGGGGTCCCCTGAGAGGTGTGGGGGGCTCGTTTGGGGCCCCCTGAGACGTGTGGTGTTAGTTTGAGGCTCCCGTGGAAGTGTGGGGCTCGATTGAGGCCCCCTGGGAGGTGTGGGGCTCGTTTGAAGCCACTCTGGGTAGTGTGGGGCCCCTTGGGAGGTGTGGGGCTCTGTTGGGGCTCCCTGGGAGGTGTGAGGGGTCATTTGGGGCCCTCTGAAAAGTGTGAGGATCGTTTAGGGCCCTTTTGAAGGAGTGGGGCTCGTTTGGGGCCCCGCCTGGGAGACTTTGGGCTCGTTTAGGGCCCCCTGAGAGCTGTGGGTCTCATTTGGGGCCCCCCTTGGAGGGGTGGGGCTCGTTTGGGGCCCCCTTGGGAGATGTGGGGCTCGTTTGAGGCCCCGCAGGAAATGTTGAGCGCGTTTCGAGCAACCTGGGAGGAGTAGGGCTCGTTTGGGGCCCCCCTGGGAGGAGTGGGGCTCGTTTAGAGCCCACTAGGAGGTGTGGGAGCCCATTTTAAGCCCTCCCAGGAAGGTGTGGGCTTCATTTAGAGTCTTTCTGGAATTATGGGGCCCCCTGGAAGGTGTGGGGCTCGTTTGGAGCCCCTCTGGGAAGTTTGGGGCCCCCTGGGAGGTGTGAGGGCTCGTTTGGGGCCCCCTGGGAGGTGTATGGCTCGTTTGGAGCCCATCTGGGTAGTGTGGGGTCACATTTGGGGCCTCCTGGGAGGTGTGGGGCTCTGTTGGGCCCCCCTGGGAGGTGTGCGGGCGTGTTTGGGGTCCGGTGGGAGGTATGGGGCTCGTTTGGGACCCCCTGGGAAGTGTGGGGCTCTGTTGGGACCCCCTGAGAGTTTTGTGGGCTCGTTTGGGGATCCCCCTGGGAGGTGTGGGGCTCTGTTGGGGCCCCCTGGGAGGTGTGTAGGCTCGTGTGGGCCCCCTTGGGAGGTGTGGAGCTGGTTTGGGTTCCCTGGGAGGTGTGGAGCTCTGTTGGGGCCCCTTGAGAGGTGTGGGGCTCTGTTGGGGCTCCCTGGGAGGTGTGAGGGGTCATTTGGGGCCCACTGAAAAGTGTGAGGTTCGTTTAGGGCCCTTTTGAAGGAGTATGGCTCGTTTGGGCGGAGCGGGGTTTGTTTGAAGGACCCCCTGGGAGATGTTGGGCTCTGTTGGGGTCCCCTGAAAGGTGTGGGGGCTCGTTTGGGGGCCCCCTGGGAGGTGTGGGGCTCTGTTGGGGTCCCTGAGAGGTGTGGGGGCTCGTTTGGGCCCCCTGGGACGTGTGGTGTTAGTTTGAGGGTCCCCTGGAAGTGTGGGGCTCGATTGAGGCCCCCTGGGAGGTGTGGGGCTCGTTTGGGGTCCCCCTGGGACATGTGAGGCTCATTTGGAGCCCCCCTGGGAGGTGTGAGCCTCGTTTGGAGCCCCTCTGTGTAGTGTGGGGCCCCACTGGGAGGTGTGGGGCTCTGTTTGGGGCCCCTTGGGAGGTGTGGGGCTCTGTTGGGGCTCCCTGGGAGGGAGCCCCAACTTGTTTTGACTTGTGAGGGGTCATTTGGGGCCCTCAGAAAAGTGTGAGGTTCGTTTAGGGCCCTCTTGAAGGAGTGGGGCTCGTTTGGGGCCCCGCCTGGGAGATTTTGGGCTCGTTTGGGGCCCCGCCTGGGAGATTTTGGGCTCGTTTGGGGCCCCCTGAGAGCTGTGGGTCTCATTTGGGGCCCCCCTTGGAGGAGTGGGGCTCGTTTGGGGCCCCCTTGGGAGATGTGGGGCTCGTTTGAGGCCCCGTAGGAAGAGTTGAGCTTGTTTCGAGCAACCTGGGAGGAGTAGGGCTCGTTTGGGGGGCCCCCTGGGAGGAGTGGGGGCTCATTTAGAGCCCACTAGGAGGTGTGGGGCCCATTTTAAGCCCTCCCAGGGAGGTGTGGGCTTCCTTTAGAGCCTTTCTGAGTGGTATGGGGCCCCCTGGAAGGTGTGGGGCTCGTTTGGAGCCCCCTGGGCACAGTGGGGCAGGTTGGGGGCCCCTGGGTAGGTGTGGGCCTCGTTTGGAGCCCCTCTAGGAAGTTTGGGGCCCCCCTGGGAGGTGTGAGAGCTCGTTTGGGGCCTCCTGGGAGGTGTGGGGCTCGTTTGGAGCCGCTTGGGGGACGTGGGGCTCGTTTGGAGCCCATCTGGGTAGTATTGGTCACATTTGGGGCCGCCTGGGAGGTGTGGGGCTCTGTTCGGGCCCCCTGGGAGGTGTGCGGGCGTGTTTGGGACCCCGTGGGAGGTATGGGGTTCGTTTGGAGGCCCACTGGGAAGTGTGGGGCTCTGTTGGGGCCCCCTGGGAGTTTTGTGGCTTCGTTTGGGGCCCCCTAGGAGGTGTGTAGACTCGTGTGGGGCCCCCTGGGAGGTGTGGAGTTGGTTTGGGCTCTCTGGGAGGTGTGGAGCTCTGTTGGGGCCCCCTGGAAGGTGTGGGGCTATGTTGGGGGCCCCTTGAGAGGTGTGGGGGCTTGTTTGTGGCCCCCTGAGAGGTGTGGGGCTCTGTTGGGGCCCCCTGAGAGGTGTGGGGGCTCGTTTGGGGCCCCCGGGGACGTGTGGGGACTAGTTTGAGGCTCCCGTGGAAGTGTAGGGCTCGATTGAGGTCTCCTGGGAGGTTAGGAGGTATGGGGCTCGTTTGGGGTCCCCCTGGGAGGTGTGAGGCTCATTTGGAGCCCCTCTGTGTAGTGTGGGGCCCGTTGGGGGGTGGGGCTCTGTTGGGGCCCCCTGGGAGGTGTGAAGGCTCATTTTGGGCCCCCTGGGAGGTGTGCGGCTCTGTTGGGCCTCCCTGGGAGGTGTGGGGGCTCGTTTCAGGCCCCCTTGGAGGTGTGAGGTTCGTTTGGGGTCCCCTGGGAGGTGTGGGGCTCGTTTGGAGCCCCCCTGTGGGACGTGCGGCACATTTGGAGCCCATCTGGGTAGTGTGGGTCACATTTGGGGCCTCCTGGGAGGTGTGGGGCTCTGTTGGGAACCCTGGGAGGTGTGGGGGGCGTGTTTGGTGCCCCGTGGGAGGTATGGGGTTCGGTTGGAGGCCCCCTGGGAAATGTTGGGCTCATTTGGAGCCCCCAGGGAGGTGTGGGGCTCGTTTGGAGCCCTTAGGGAGGTGTAGGGCTCGTTTGGAACCCATCTGGGTAGTGTGGGGCTCATTTGGGGCCCCTTGGGAGATTGGGGCTCTGTTGGGGCCCTCTGGGAGGTTTGAGGACTTGTTTGGGGTCCCCTGGGAGGTGTGGGGCTCTTTTGGGGCCCCCTGGGAGGTATGGGGCTCTGTTGGGGCCCCCCTGGGAGGTGTGGGGGCTCGTTTGAGGCTCCCTGGGAGGTGTGGGGCTCTGTTGGGGCCCCCCTGGGAGGTGTGGGGCTTGTTTGAGGCTCCCTTGGAAGTGTGGGGCTCGAGTGAGGCTCCCTGGGAGGTGTGGGGCTCGTTTGGAGCCCATGTGGGTAATGTGGGGCTCATTTGCGGCCGTTTGGGAGGTGTGGGGCACTGTTGGGCCCCCCTGGAAGGTGTGGGGCTCTGTTGGGGCCTCCCTGGAATGTGTGGGGCTCTGTTGGGGCCCCCTGGGAGGAGTAGGGCTCGTTTGGAGCCCATGTGGATAGTGTGGGGCTTATTTAGGGCCCTTTGTGAGGTGTGGGGCTCTGTTGGGGCCCCCTAGGAGGTATGTGGGCTCGTTTGGGGCCCCCTGGGAGGTGTTGGGCTCGTTTTGAGCTTCTTGGGAGGATTAAGGCTCGTTTGGGAGCCCCCTGGGAGGAGTGGGGCTCAGTTGGGGCCCCCTTGGAGGTGTGGAGCTCTGTTGGGGCCCCCTGGGAGGTGTAAGGGTTCGTTTGAAGGGCCCCTGGGAGGTGTGGGGCTCTGTGTGGGCCCCCTGAGAGGTGTGGGGGCTCGTTTGGAGCCCCCTGGGAGGTGTGGAGCTGTGTTGGGGTCCCCTGAGAGGTTGGGGCTTTGTTGGGGCCCTCTGGGAGGTGTGGGGGCTTGTTTGGGGCCCCCATGGGAGGTGTGGGGGCTCGTTTGAGGCTCCCGTGCAAGTGTGGGTCTCGAATGAGGCCCCCTGGGAGGTGTGGGGCTCTTGGGGCACCCCATGGGAGGTGTGGGGGCTCGTTTGAGGCTCCCGTGCAAGTGTGGGTCTCGAATGAGGCCCCCTGGGAGGTGTGGGGCTCGTTTGGGACCCGCTTGGGAGGTGTGCGGCTCGTTTTTAGCCCCCTGGGAAGTGTGGGGCTCGTTTGGAGCCCCCTGGGAGGTGTGGGGCTGTGTTGGGGTCCCCTGAGAGGTTGGGGCTTTGTTGGGGCCCTCTGGGAGGTGTGGGGGCTTGTTTGGGGCCCCCATGGGAGGTGTGGGGGCTCGTTTGAGGCTCCCGTGCAAGTGTGGGTCTCGAATGAGGCCCCCTGGGAGGTGTGGGGCTCTTGGGGCACCCCATGGGAGGTGTGGGGGCTCGTTTGAGGCTCCCGTGCAAGTGTGGGTCTCGAATGAGGCCCCCTGGAAAGTGTGGGGCTCGTTTGGAGCCCCCTGGGAGGTGTGGGGGCTCGCTTGGGGCCCCCTGGGAGGTGTGGGTGTCTGTTGGGGAGCCCTGGGAGGTGTAGGGCTTGTTTGGAGTCTCCTGGGAGGTGTAGGGCTCGTTTAGAGCCCATATGGGTAATGGGCTCATTTGGGGCCGTTTGGGAGGTGTGGGGCACTGTTGGGGCCCCCTGGAAGGTGTGGGGCTCTGTTGGGGAACCCAGGAAGGTGTGGGGCTCTGTTGGAGCCCCCCTGGGAGGTGTGAATGCTCGTTTGGGGCCCCATGGGAAGTGTGGGGATCGTTTGGGGCCCCCTGGGAGGAGTAGGGCTCGTTTGGAGCCCATCTGGATAGTGTGGGGCTTATTTAAGGCCCCCTGTGAGGTGTGGACCTCTGTTTTGGCCCCCTGGGAGGTGTGGGGTTGGTTTGGCCCCCTGGGAGGTGTAGGGCTCTGTTGGGCCCGCCCTGGGAGGTGTGGGGGCTCGTTTGGGGCCCCCTGGGAAGTGTGGGGCTCTGTTGGGGCCCCCTGGGAGGTGTGCGGGCTCGTTTGGGGCCCCCTAGGAGGTGTGGGGCTCGTTTGGGGCCCCCTGGGAGGTGTGGGCCTCGTCTTGGCCCTTCCTGGGAGGTTCTGGCCTCGTTTGGACCCACTCTGGGTAGTGTGGGGCCCCTTGGCAGTTGTGGGGCTCTGTTGGGGCCCCCTGGGAGGTGTGCGGGCTCGTTTGAGGCCCCCTGGGAGGTGTGCGGGTTCGTTTGGGGCCCCCTGGAAGGTGTGCGGCTCATTTGGAGCCCATCTGGGTAGTGTGGGTCACATTTGGGGCTTCCTGGGAGGTGTGGACCTCTGTTGGGGCACCATGGGAGGTGTGAGGGCATGTTTGGGGTCCCGTGGGAGGTATGGGATCCCGGGGGAGGTATGGGGTTCGTTTGGAGGCCCCCTGGGAAGTGTGGGGCTCGTTTGGGACCCCCAGGGAGGTGTGGGCCTCGTTTGGAGCCCATCTGGGTAGTGTGGGGCTCATTTGGGGCCCCTTGGGAGGTGTGGGCTCTGTTGGGGCCTTCTGGGAGGTGTGGGTGCTTGTTCGGGGTCCCTTGGGAGCCCCCTGGGAGGTGTGGGGCTCTGTTGAGGCTCCCTGGAAGTTGTGTGGGCTCATCTGGGGCCCCCTGCGAGGTGTGGGGGCTTATTTAAGGCCCCCTGGGAAGTGTGGGGCTCCGTTGGGGCCCCGTGGAAGTTGTGTGAGCTCATCTGGGGCCCCCTGCGAGGTGTGGGATTCGTTGGAGCCCCTCTGGGTAATGTGGGGGCCCCCTGGGAGATGTAAGGCTCTGTTGGGGCCCCATGAGAGGTGTGGGGGCTCGTTTGGGGCCCTTTTGGGAGGTGTGGGGCTCCGTTGGGGCCCCCTGATAGGTGTGGGGGTTTGTTTGGGCCCCCCTGAGAGGAGTGGGGGTTCGTTTGGAGGCCGACTGGGATGTGTGGGACTAGTTTGAGGCTCCCTTGGAAGTGTACAGCTCGATTGAGGCCCCCTGGCAGGTTGGGAGGTATGGGGCGCGTTTGGGGCCCCCCAAGAGGTGTGGGGCTCGTTTGGGCCCCCCCCCCCAAGAGGTGTGGGGTTCTGTTGGGGCCACCTGGGAGGTGTGAGGCTCATTTGCAGCCTCACACGAGCCCCCAAACCTCTCAGGGGGCCCCAACAGAGCCCCACATCTCCCAGGGGTCCTTCAAACGAACCCTAACACCTCCCAGGGGGCCCCAACAGAGCCCCACACACCCCAGTTGGCTCCAAACGAGCCCCACTCCTCCCAGGGGGCCCCAACAGGGCTCCACATTACCCAGAGGGGCTCCAAACGAGTCCCACACCTCTCAGGGGGCCCCAAACGAGCCCCCACACCTCTCAGGAGGCCCCAACGAGTCCCACACCTCTCAGGGGGCCCCAAACGAGCCCCCACACCTCTCAGGAGGCCCCAAACGAGCCCCCACACCTCTCAGGAGGCCCCAAACGAGCCCCCACACCTCTCAGGAGGCCCCAAACGAGCCCCCACACCTCTCAGGAGGCCCCAAACGAGCCCCCACACCTCTCAGGAGGCCCCAAACGAGCCCCCACACCTCTCAGGAGGCCCCCAAACGAACCCTAACACCTCCCAGGGGGCCCCAACAGAGCCCACACACCCCAGTTGGCTCCAAACGAGCCCCACTCCTCCCAGGGGGGCCCCAACAGGGCTCTACATTACCCAGAGGGGCTCCAAACGAGTCCCACACCTCTCAGGGGGTCTCCAAATGAGCCTCACACCTCCCAGGGGGACCCCAACGAGCCCCACACCTCCCAGGGGGCCCCAACAGAACCTAACACCTCCCACAGGGCCCCAACAGAGCCCCACACCTCCCAGGGGGCCCCCAACAGAGCCCCAAACCTCCCAGGGGGCCCTAACAGAGCCCCAATCTCCCAAGAGGCCCCAAATGAGCCCCACACTACCCAGATGGGTTCCAAACGAGCCCCACACTTTCCAGTGGGGGCTCCAAACGAGCCCCCACAATTCCCAGGGGGGCCTCCAACCGAACCCCATACCCACACGGGGCACCAAACACGCCCCCCACACCTCCCAGGGTTCCCCAGCAGAGCCCCACACCTCCCAGGCGGCAACAAATGTGACCCATACCACCCAGATGGGCTCCAAGCGAGCCCCACGACCCCAAGGGGGGTTTCAAACGAGCCCCACAACTTCCAGGGGGCCCCAAACGAACCTCACACCTCAAAGAGGGCCCCAAACGAGCCCTCACACTTCCCAGAGGGCCCCAAATTTCCGAAAGAGGCTCCAAACGAGGCCCACACCTCCCCAGGGGCCCCCTACCAGCCCCACTCCTCCCAGGTGGCTCGAAACGAGCCCCACACCTTCCAGGGGGCCCCATACTACCCAGAAAGGCTTTAAACAAAGCTCACACCTTCCAGTGGGGGGCTTAAAATGGGCCCCACACCTACTAGTGGGCTCCAAACGAGCCCCACACCTCCCAGGGGCCCCAAACGAGGCCGCACACCTCCCAGGGGGGTCCAACAGAGTCCCACACCTCCCAGGGGGCCAAACCAACCCCACACCTCCCAGCGGGCCCCAAAGGAGCCTTCACACCTCCCACGGGGCCCCCAACAGACCCCCCACACCTCCAAGCGGGGCCCCACACTACACAGAGGGCGCTCCAAATGAGCCGCACACCTCCCAGGGGGCCCCAACGAGCCCCACATCTCCCAGGGGCCCTAAACGAGCCCCCACACTTCTCAGGGGGCCCCAACAGAGCCCCACATCTCCCAAGGGTCCTTCAAACGAACCCTAACACCTTCCAGGGGGGCCCCAACAGAGCCCCACACACCCCAGTTGGCTCCAAACGAGCCCCACTCCTCCCAGGGGGCCCCAACAGGGCTCCACATTACCCAGAGGGGCTCCAAACGAGTCCCACGCCTCTCAGGGGGCCCCAAACGAGCCCCCACACCTCTCAGGGGGCCCCAACAGAGCCCCACATCTCCCAGGGGTCCTTCAAACGAACACTAACACCTCCCAGTGGGCCCCAACAGAGCCCCACACACCCCAGTTGGCTCCAAACGAGTCCCACACCTCTCAGGGGGGCTCCAAATGAGCCTCACACCTCCCAGGGGGACCCCAACGAGCCCCACACCTCCCAGGGGGCCCCAACAGAACCTAACACCTCCCACAGGGCCTCAACAGAGCCCCACACCTCCCAGGGGGCCCAAACAGAGCCCCACACCTCCAAGGGGGCCAAAACGAGCCTTTACATCTCCCAAGGGGACCCAACAGAGCCCTACACCTCCCAGGGGGCCCCCAACAGAGCTCCACACCTCCCAGCGGGGCCCCCACACTACAGAGGGGCTCCAAACGAGGGCCACACCTCCCAGGGGGGGGGGCTCCAAATTAGCCCCACACGTCCCAGGGGGCCCCAAACGAGCCCCCACAGCTCTCAGGGGGCTCCAAAAGGCCCTAAACGAACCCCCACACTTTTCAGGGGGCCCCAAAAGAGTCCCACACTACCCAGAGTGGCACCAAACGAGGCCCACACCTCCCAGGGAGGGTCAAAACGAACAGCTGTTGGATCACTGTACATAGGATAAGTCTTATTCGGAATAAGTCTGCTCGTGAAGCTAAATATTCTTGAAGTAAATATTACTTCCGGGCCAGAGATGAAATGGTTGGCGAGTCTGATGCCTTTAATATAGCTCGACTTGTCCCCTATACTGGCAGAGCTACTTTTGAATATTCAGAGTGCCGTGTTCTCTTCCCCTGATTGGCGCCTTTGGTAATTACTTACCCCCGTCTGGTGGATGGATTATGACTGGTAAATTTATGTATGCCAGTCAGGATTACCAAGAGGGCCACCGCCTCTGTGCTGGCTTCCTGTTCCTGTCGAGGTAACTTACAAATCTGAAAGAGGAACTAATACACAGGTTGTGACGACAGCTTCGGCGGGTAGGCGGTTCCACGCTTTTAAACCCGGTAGTGAGAAGTCTTGCGTTAAGCAGTTGTCCCCTTTCATGCATTACATTGAACTTTGTCTTCAAACTTCAGTATTTGACTTCAAGACCTGTTAGATAAATACCGAGATTGAATTTTAAATTGACAAGCAACCCCAAAATAAAGTGGCAGATATGTCTGAGCTTTCTTCCAAGTAATTATCAAAAGGCACCAAGCCGGGAAGGCTATGTAGCACCATTTCTTCAAAGAGATCAACGGTGCTGTTAATGTAGTGTTTAGCTCCTACACCTGAAATCATGTCAGAAGCATCAGATGGAAAACTTTCAGCTCAAGAGACTAGTGGCACAAGAGATCTTGTAAAGAAAGTTACTGGGATTAATGGAGTCAGCAATAAGGGAACAACGCAAGAGACCAGCGGGAGTGTTCACGAAACACTTTCCCCGGTCAGAGGACAGCCCAAGCTGCCTTACTCCAGGGCGTCTCAACATGCGGGTCACCGCCCTTCAGTGGGTGGCGACAAACAAGCTAGTGAGGTTTCAGTAACCTGCAATTCACAAGTAATTATCAAAAGGCACCAAACCGGGAAGGCTATGTAGCACCATCAAATGTGCGGAATAATCAGAGGGCGCTAAATATCACCAAGGATGCCAATACGAGAACAAAAACGCACAAGGCGAACGATATCAAAAGTATCCTAGTCACCAAGAATTCTATCGAGGGACAAGCGACCTTGAGGGACGGTCGGAAAGCAAGACGCACGCTCGTCCTGGAAGTTAGGACATTCAAGAAGGACATGCACGACCGTAAGAGGGACAATGCAACTAGGACAAGGAGCAGGGCGGCGCTCCATCTGCAATTCACAAGGCTGACGTTACTCTTGTGGCCAGGTCATGTGTGGCAGACTCGCATCTTTGCCGTTTTTAATTAAAGTAGAAATTCACCCTCAACAAAATAAAACTAATCAATTACCAATGCAAAAAAAAATTTTCACAATTAAAACCGAGATGGAACAAGGTCAACACGAAACATGAGTGCATCACCGTTTTTTTTTCCAAATTTTAATAAAATTTAATTGGAGACTTCCTAGGAATGTACTTTTAGTCTTGCTAGAATTTCATGCAAAACTTTTTCCCCTCCCCCCCCCCCCAACGGCTTTCCGAGAGGCCTCTTGGCTAGGGTATTAAAGATTATTTTCTGGTTTAAAAAATTTTATTCCACCATTCAGTAAACAAGGCCATTTTGGGGGGAAAAATATATCAAAGGCTTTGACAGTGTGGTGCCACTTTACGCTCCTGACAGCCGAGTGGACAGCGCTTCGTATTCTTAGTCCTAAGGTTCCGGGTTCGATCCCCAGTGGAGGCGGAGACAAATGGGCAAGAGTTTTTCCACCCTGATGCCCCTGTTACCTGGCAGTAAATGGGTACCTGGGAGTTAACTGCTACGGGCTGCTTCCTGGGGGTGTGTAACAAAGGCCTGGTCGAGGACCGGGCCGCTGGGGACACTAAGCCCCAAAATCAAGATAGGCTCCCGTTATAGATTTTCTTCAGTAGCAGAGAGTCTTCATCGCCTTTCCTGGTATCTGGCAGTGGTCGACCGAGCCTGGGGACAGGAGGAGGCAGTTATCAGAACAATATTTTTTTATATAAAGATTTATGAAATCTTATGTTAATCTTTACAGCCGTTAAAGTCCTTATGAGTAACCTGCACTTATAAAATATATAAAACACCCCGTATGTTATGACAATTTGAGCTGTATGACCAAGTAAAACCAGCCATATGGACCCTTCAGTGAGACCAGTTGGTGTAGGATAGTACCAGGATCACTTCCAGGTGGTCGTGCCTCTGTGCCGCTTGGTCAGATGAACTGGGTCGGACCTAACAAAAATGTAGTTTTAGAAAAATTCTTTGCCATTTAGAAATTCTTACTCCAGCAGAATGACCATATTAAAGTTTAATTCACACGCGATTCAATAATTTATAACTTACACACTAAGGAAACTTACTTGTGGCGGTAACGCTCTTTATGAAGTACTAACTAGCTGGAAGTCTATGCTAAGATTAACAGTAAGAGTTTGCTTGATCCCAGCTGTAGGTATTAGTATTCACGCACCATGAAAAATGGTAGTTCTTACTATCCCTAGGTTCATGCATCTGAAACCGTTTAAAATTAAATTAATCCAAATTCACTGAACAGGGATAAGAACCACGTTGAGGATAAACCTGCATGTTTGGTATTCAAAGCACATTACTATGATTTACATTAACCAAACCAAACGAACATTTTACTTACCGTGTTACCAGGTATTCCACAGGATGGAGTGTCGAATTTGCTGTGGCCTTGAAGGCTGAGACAGGCTGGGGGATATCTGAAAATTGCAGGAAGGTGTTGGAAGAACAATGGTGCCACTAAGAATGAACTGTTGGACGTAATATGTAACTCTAAAGAAACTAGTTTGAAAACAGTTGACGTCTTTAAGAGACCGGTAGAGACTTTCCTTGAATGAGGACTTTGGGAAGGAAAACGCGACGAAAACTGGCGCAGCATACCAGAATGTGAATAACAATTTAAGATTCAAGAGTGCAATTAGATTTAAACATTCTTGCACCAGGGTTAAGGCAAGCCGAGGTAAAAGTTATTGAAGAATTTTACCGTCATTGTAATAATTATACGAGAAAGTTACGCAGGATATTTGTTTCAAAGTTAAATTTATTTGTTAAGTTACTATCCAAGATACTTTGTCAATCCTCTAGGCTAGGGTTCTAGATGTTAGCAGACTACTCAAAATCAAACTTTTTTGGTTGGGGGGGGGGGGGGGCCCACAAAACCTATTCACTGCTGCGTGGTAACCGACTTAAGAACAAAGTCATTTACTTTACACTAAAGTAAAATCTCAACATCTATATTTAAGTGTTAACATTGATCTAAGCAACTTATAAACAGTCAACGTGCATGGCAATACTGTACATTACCGAACTACAACTTTGAACTGCTCGAGCAATCCACTGTGGGGGAAGTGTTCGGAGACAAGCATTTTACTAAAAAACAGCGTTTGTCAAGCTTCTGACTGCCTTTAAGAGACCTCCGGGGCGCTGACAGTTGCACTATTACGAACCGGTAGTTAACTATCGTTCAGATGCAATGGTCAAGATGAATTATTCGGTTAACTTGTTACATTAGAACTATTTACATAACTAGAAAATTTCACTAGTTATCAATTATTAGAACTGTAGCCTGCTGAAAAGTCTTAAAAAATATTTTAAATTTAGCTTTGAATGTAGTTTTAACTAGTAACCCCCCCCCCAATTGGTAATATATATTTAACCAAATTTTTGAAGTTGAAGCCAGACATTAAGGGATAATAGCCTCACGCATGAGAGAAGTTTGGTAGAGGAACGTCACAAGCCAGTTTGGGTCGGCTCTAGTGCCACACGCAGCGTTAGGCGCACTTTACCTAACCTTCGATTCGTCAAGGCAAATCTGAAATAACGGTAGTCCCCCCCCCCCCCACAAACAGGAGGGCGAGGGGGGAGAGGACGCAACAAGGGGGAAAGGGAGGGGAGGACGCAACAAAGTGGATGGGGGGGAGGAGGGGGGACGCAACAAAGGGGAAGGGGGGAGGAGGGGGGACGCAACAAAGGGGAAGGAGGGGGGGACGCAGCAAAGGGGGAGGTGGGGAGGATCCTCACCATACAGCTCACCTTCAAGAGACGAAGCTGGAACTGTATACCAAAAGTGAGGTAAAACAACACTGAAGTGCTTTTTGTCTCATCGTCACTTTTATATCCAGCAGCCAACCAAACCCGGCCGCTGATTGGTTGACATTCACCCTAAACCTCGCCCCCATTGGTTAATATTTGGCGAGTCTGAAGTGTCAATTAACAATGGCCAACAGCCACTCCTTCACTTCCTCAAATACGAACAAGTCTCTTCCAATGAACCAATAATGATCCCCAGCATGAATGTTTGACGTTGTCAATTTCAAAATCTAATTCACAAACCAAATACAACATTCTGTTGTAAAAGTTGCAACAGAACAATAGGTACAACAGAGCAACATTTGTAATAGAATCGGCAGTGAAGTAGTTTGTCGTCCGTCAGTCAAGAACAGTTAATGGCCGCTCGTCAAATACAATACATGCAATAACAGACTAAGAAACCCAACAACCCAAAGTTCCTGACACAACACTGGATGATGTTAAATATTTGAGCTTAATTGACTTAAGATATTGCTCGTTAATGACAAATTAAGTGATTTTATCTTATTGAAGTGTGAACATTTATACTTCAAAATAACTATTAACGTCCAGGATGACATTGTTCAGAATATTATTCTGCACAAGTGGCGTCCTTAACGATCACCACGTAACGCCGGATGCGTCCTCGGTGCTCCTCTAGTCTTCAAAATAAGATTTACTGTCACCTTTCTCGCTCTTCCTGTCTCCGTCTCCCCAAGGTACTCCTCGAGCGCCTGGAGTATAAGTCTCAAGACGAGTCTTATAGGATGTCAGGCGGTTCCCAGCTCCTTCCTACACGCTCTCTACAGCTCCAGCCTCTTCAGTTCTGCCTGTTAAGAGCTGTATGTTTACCTTGAGATTTATAAGCTTATAACTGTTTAATCGCGACCTCCACCTTAGACGACCACAGCCAGACAGTAAGGAAGGCAACTAAGACCGTCTCGGTGTACTAAAGAACATCTACAACGACAGGGTAACAACACAACATTGCCTCTCACCACCTCGAGTCTGTCACGTGACACCAGCCTCTGATGTTGATGCCTCTCGTCGGTCTTGCCTCTCAGTCTTCCTTCTTGGGAACCTGTACACTGAACATTGCTGCCTTCAACACTGCCAGTGTATCCTCAGGATGGATATAGGGTTTACAACTAGTCACTAGATGTGAATGAGGTCCACTACCAACTGTTAGATGAGTATTGGGTCCAATACCGCCCACCTGTGTACGGTAGTGAACCCAGACCAATCCTTTGGATGGTAGTGGACCCCATACTCATCCTGTGGGCGGTTGTAGGCCCCATACTCATCCTATTGGTGGTAGTGGACCCCTTACCATCATGTGAATGTTAGTGGATCCCATGGTGGGTGGTAGTGGACCCCATACCTATCCTTTTGGGTGGTAGTGAACCCCATACCCACCCTTTTGGGTGGTAGTGAACCCCATATATATCCTATTGGGTGGTAGTGGACCTCATACTTATTCTTTTGGGTGGTAGTGGACCCCATACCTATCCTTTTGGGTGGTAGTGAACCCCATACCTACCCTTTTGAGAGGTAGTGAACCCCATATATATCCTATTGGGTGGTAGTGGACCTCATACTTATCCTTTTGGGTGGTAGTGGACCCCATACCTATCTTTTTGGGTGGGTGGTAGTGGACCCCATGCCTATCCTTTTGGGTGGTAGTGGACCCCATACCTATCTTTTTGGGTGGTAGTGGACCCCATACCTATCTTTTTGGGTGGTATTGGACCCCATAAACATCGTGAGCCTTCTTGTAGACCCTTTATCTATCCTGCACTTTAAAAAATAAGTAAATCCCATTTGCAGTAGTGTACCTCTTAGACATCCTAACATCACAGTTTCCTGTTGATTTGTTGGATTTATTAATTTTCTGTTGATGTTTGTACAATTTATTCTAAGATTTTCAAATTATAGACTATTGTATATAATGTTTAGCAAAAGCATTATTATATGTAATAACTTCTAGAGTGCTTATTGATTTTATTTTTTGTTTGATTTTATTATAATTTACTGAGAAGCACCAAGATTGTCTAAGTGCTAACCTTTAACAGAATGTACTGTGGCAACCTGTCCTTGACTCAAGTCCATTACATCCAGGGGTTCAACCCCACAGACGCATTCATAGATTTTTTACATGTTGCTCATTCAAAACAGGAATTTTCTCAAATATAAAATAATATTGTAACATACCTGGTTGATGGGGGGGTTCTGGGAGTTGTTGTTCTCCCCAAGCCCGGCCCGAGGCCAGAATTGACTTTTGAGAGTTTGGTCCACCAGGCTGTTGCTTGGAGCGGCCTGCATATACAGGCATAGGTTAGGTTAGGTGTTTAGGTTCTGGTGGCGATTATTTGTATTTGTAGTACGTGGGTGAAGCAGTTACAGCATTGTGCTATGAACAAAAATTCGTCAGTGAAGCATTTGTTCCGGAAGTGTTCGAACAAAATCAAAATTTTTTGGAGGATTTACTGGGTGCAAATCCTTAACTGTAGCCTCTGTTTATGCAACAATAAAATGGATACCTGGTTAACGGAATTGGCAGGGGGTCGTATTCTGGGGGAATAATAGGATCAAGGACCTGCCCGAAACGCCATGCGTGCTGTACAAGAATGTAAGAACTTTTGTAAATATAAATAAAATATAAATAAATAGAGGCAGGACCAAAGCTCAACCTCCATAAGCACTAGGCAAATACACCAAAAGAGTGGTAATGGAAAATTAAAATTATCGTTCAAATTTGAGCAGACTATTCTGCTGTCCCCGGTGATGGGACTGTAACTATGGGACATACAATGGTATGTGAGGAAGAGTTGGTGCCTGGTGATAGCTAATAACTGTAAATCTACCACAGGGAAACTGTGAACATTAGCAGCATAGTTCCTATGAGTATTACACGACATTAGTACCAAGGTATACCAAGGACAGGTTGGGCTGGCAATGCCTTTGTCATGGTTATCTTGAGGTTATCTCGAGATGATTTCGGGGCTTTTTAGTGTCCCCGCGGCCCGGTCCTCGACCAGGCCTCCACCCCCAGGAAGCAGCCCGTGACAGCTGACTAACACCAAGGTACCAGGGGCATAGGGTGAAAAACTCTGGCCATTGTTTCTCGCCGGCGCCTGGGATCGAACCCAGGACCACAGGATCACAAGTCCAGCGTGCTGTCCGCTCGGCCGACCGGCTCCATGGGTTTGTGTTACCTCACAGCCTCAGTAAATTTTCTCAATGAGGTACTATTCCTATTTTCTCAAATGATGGAAAAGAAAAAAAAATCATTTAAACATCCTTTACTTTCATTGCTACAACACAATAAAATAACAAATGGTAATACAAACACTGCAAAAGTAAACAAGCTGCAGTATTTATCTAATAAGTTACTGGCCATATAAGATATTTACAAATAAACCCCATAAAATACACCACTAAAAGTGGTCAACGAAACAAAATGAGATTCAACACACTGGACAACACAGGACAGCCAAAATTTGGAACGTGCCTTCATGAAACGTCAGCCATTCAACAGTTAACAATATTTAGCTTCTCCACTGAATGCTAAACACACTCACTAACATACCACTATTTTTGCATTACATGCCTTGATTTGAACTTGCATGTATAACGCACTACCTCAATCACATGAATTATCACATTTATTGTTAATTTATTAACAACATCCAAGTGTGAATGTAATTCACCTATGTACACTAAACTAGTTACATTTGATATTTAAACTACTGAAGATGAAGTCAACTGTTGAGTGGACTATACAGGTAGGATTCTATACATGAAGAATATATAACTTTTCTAACATTTGCAATAAATAATGTGTATAGCTGAATGTGTACTGTACTGTTTTGCATCTCGGCAATGTTAAGAAATTAAAAAACAAAGAAAAATGTACATAATTTACATCCTAGCAACAGCATCCCCCCCCCCTACTCATTTGCCTCTTGTACAAATTATATAAATACAAATAAAAATTTGTAATTTATACCCAAGAGGCTAAGGTGACTGTTTTAGGACCTCATTTATACCATACCAAGTGCACTAGAATACCATTTTAGGTTGAAATGGGTTATTAAAATCTTTTACTGGTCAAGACTTTAAAAAAAATTAAATTTAATGGCATGAACATTACTAATCACTGCAATACTCTACACAAGGTGACTTTACATGTAATAAGATAATCAAGAAAGTGATATGTTCTGATGTTCAAGTTCACAATGAAGTGAAAATAAAGCAACCCCAACATGTTAAAACTGAAATAAATATCTTGCTGTAGATTTTGAAATATTGAATTTTAACACCTAGTGTTATAGTAAAAATCTGTAGTGCGAGGATTTAACTATTCATTTAGCAAAATCAACAATACTGTAATAATACACTACATTTTGATTTACAAGTGATTTGTCTAAATTTTCTGCACAATGCAACAGTTTAGCAAACTATAGATACACTGCACATACAATAGTGAAATGTTGGCATTGCTGTAACATTAGTTGTTTTTTTGCTTCTACTGTATTGGCAGAAATCCAACACATCTTGTGGCATTAAATTAAAATATCACATTCTATTTTCTATAATTATTGCTAAAACATCTTGGTGGTCATCTACTTTATTCCTAAAACTACTCATGAGATTCCTTTGTGTGAAACCACAACCTTACCATATACACAAGATATTTACTACAAATAAAGAATCAACTATGTCCCGTGTTATAAATGGCTGCACGAATGCAGATGACTAGTATTCATATAAATCATTAGCAATACAATGCACATGATCTATTTATCTACCTTTCTTTAAAATTGCACAGATACCGGTACCTACAGGAATTCTAAAAAAAAAAAAAAAATACATACTGTATATATGCATAAACTATGCCAAATTTTTTTTTTATTTTTTTTTAGTAGAAGAGTATCTTAGTCCATCTAAATTTATCGAGTTCTTTGGATTATTCTGCATCCCTTACATGTTTTTGCAAGCATTCCATATTTCATTAAATGTAAAAAAAAAAAAATCCAATTGTTCTTGGAATAAAAAATGTAAAATTTACAATCTAACTTTAGATAAATGTAAATACATTTTCTATATTAATGAAAATTTGTTCATACTTTGGAAAACTCACTCACACATTAACCAGACTGTAAACTTCAATAACCTTAACTTCAAAGTCTCCATTTGGCACAAGAGGGGGATTATCAAATGTCTGGCAAGTTTCAGTTTTGCCATATCGGAAATCATGATCCAGCATGATTCCCTGGCCATGTCTGTGGAAGGAAAAGGAAAAATGTTTTTACAGAATAAGCCACATATCCTGTAATTGTACAGTATTTTCACAAGCAGAATTTAATGTCCATATATAACAATATAATAAATCAACTCACCCTCCTCCAATAGTAATCATGTTACTGTCAGCATGCATGAAGAGTTCTGCTGAATGTTCTACAGATGATAGATGTGCATTATCTTGCTGTCTGGAGATCCCTACCCACTGGTACTTGGCAACAGTTGGCCGAAGAGTGAACAAGAATGTTTCCCCGGTGCCAAAATAGGTCTGCCAGTTGCCAAACTCATCCTTATGGTGCCGCTGGGCCCATGCCGTTGAACAGTAGGCTCCAAAAACATAATCATCCACAGTACGGATGCAGAGGAGAGTTGGTTCATGTTTCTCTACACGCTGTCAATTTAAAAAAATTTAAAATAAGAGAAACGAATCATTTACAGAATAAGCCACAGCAAAGTTGCCTATCCAATAGTGCAATGCAACAATGAACAACAACAAATGACTAATAAGTTCTTCAACAATTCATTAGAACGTACACAAGACTAGTAAACGGCAGAAGGCCTATCGACTCATGAGGCAGCGCCTATTTATATCTAACCAATCTCATTCAGATACATGTCTAACCTATGCTTGAAACAATCAAGGGATCCCATGTCATATGGTAACCGGTAATGGGTCCCACAAATCCACAACCGTTACCAAACCAGTGTTATGGTAATGCGTTGTGTTTTGTGTAAACCCAGGGCTTTCCCAAATCAAAACTTAAACAATTCATATACATTGTTGTGTGTTCTAATGTGTGTCGATATATTTAATACCTTATTAATATACTATTTATGCCCATACATCCACCTGTACACTTCAATCATGTCACCCCTAACTAAGCTTTTCCTAGAGAATGTAAATTAAGCTTTTTTTAATCTCTTCATATGGAAGGTTTCCAATTTGTGGGATTGTTATCCAATGCTGGGTGTGCTAGTGAATAATTTGCGAGAAAAAACAAAAAATTACAGTGCTAAAGTTTTACCGCATTCTGTATCATTAAAGGATTACGGAAAATATATGCAAAGCTAACCTGGAAGAAAGTTGTCAGTGAGCAGCCATGTTCTTCAGTGGTGTACACCAAAGTAGGCTGATGCATTGTCATCCTCATCGGAAGCCATGACCACAGTGTCAGGAGCTGCAATATTATAAAACATTTTAGCATATGCAATGTATTGTGCTATTAAAAAATATTTTCACTATGGCAGTTACCACTTCATACATAAACGTTTAAGTGCTGTATCTTAAACTCAATCTTAAATGAATTACAGTATATGAATGCTTGAGATTTTCCAAGAAAAAAAATGTAACAGCCTCTCACTCCTACAACATCCATCACCAGCAAAATTCATGGCCAGACCAAAATTAGTTTAGGGCAAAATAGGAAAGCAAGGGACAAACCTCGTCCTTTGAGACGATCATCGATTTGACGTTCTGAATGGGGTATTGGCCCATTGTTCGCACCCGAGGGGCAGGAGAACGAGATCCCTTTTGTTAGCGTGCACAGAAGTATTTGTTAATTGGTAGCATATATGTGAGGAACCCTTACAGAATCAAAGTTATTTGTTATAACAAAGATAAAAGCTGTAACAGACCAGATTATTCAAGCACCTAGAAAGCTTAATTTAAGAGGTCAAGAAAATTGATAAGCAAATAGACTACCCCTATACAGTACTATATTTCTGAAAGTATCTCCAATCCACCCCAACAACCTTTTCAGGCATGTGATGAAAAGCTCTCGACATCTGACACTAAAGGTATCTTTGTAATTTAATCTGGAGAACAAACTTAATCATCACATTGTGATTAATCATTGCTCAAGCCAAGAACATACAACTGTTCTTGTGTAGATAGAAAGAGCACTTCATAAACGGCTTTTCCGAGCAGCTATATTTCCTTTTTAATCACAGGGCCATTTTAAAACTGACTGGTTATTAAGTGAATACAAATGGTTTGGTATAGTTCTTTGAAGCATCAACATTAAAATCATATTTATGGATAAAATCAAGAAATTACTTCATTTTTTTATGAATCTCCATATAAAGATGTATAATTTGGGTTATCCAATGCCTACATTTTTCTCATCAAGAAACTCGGTACCGTGTACTGTGTTAGTCTCCCCGAACAGTGTTCAATAACATTGTTAAGGGACTCTTCTGCCAAATTTTGAAAATAGCCAAGAACAAGTTGCTAGCAAATCAACTCGATATACAAATTAAGGCTATTTTATTCATTAATACAAAAGATATGTAATAATACTGCTAAATTTATTGTGGTGTTAATTGTAGCATAAAGGCAAAAAGATGTTCTCAAAGCCACCATAGACCCATGCAATGAGGAAATTTTTTTTTTCCATCAAGATATAAAAGCACTTAAGCAAGTAATACCAAAGATTTATACCTCCTTAATGGTCAGTGTGTGGGACATCATCTGAATATTGGACTGTGATTCTGAAGTAGGAAGTCCTTCCAGGGATACAGAGCGATTTAAGGAGAGCGTTTCTGGCACATTCATCTGTCCTGCTCCACTTCCAGTTCCTCCCATCACTCTCTGGCTTTTAAGGTACATCTCTGTCTGAACAATTACTTTAGTGATTTCAGACTTGCTAAAAGCACGGATACCAAAAGCAGTTTTCAGCAACTTATGGGGTGGAATCTGGAAAAATCAAGGAACAAAAATTTATACAAGGCATGCAAACAATATCAAATGCATTACTACAAGCAATAATATACATCAGTACTGTATATTGTTCATAAACCCACAATAGTATAATCTCTAAAGTAAATATAATCGATATGATTAAGCAAGGATGGTAAAGAAACAACTTACATATCGGAGAGAAAAAGATGGGCAGAAGGCGCAAAGTGAAAGGAAAGGGTTTGTTTGCTGATCAAAACTAATGATTGTCAAAGATTTATGCTTCATTTTGTTCTCATCCGACTTAAAAGTATTTTCAGACAATTTTTGAAGGAAAACAAACATTACTCACCTGTATATTTTGGCAGAAGAGCATAATAGATTCATTCAGTCCTCGAGTTGGAAGTGATGCAATCATATTTGAATCGTGAGTGACTGCCTTTACAAATAATTGGAAAATAGCCAGTGCAATTCTCAATAGGACCTTTGACCCCTCAAATAGAAAGCAATCAAGGATTCGTACCTACGAAACAAAAATTCCATTGGTTAGAAATATAGAAATTATCATGTATAGTAATTTCATGAAATGACTATAGCAGTACAGAAAAGTTTACACATGGGTTTGTGAACCTTCCATAATATAGTATTAAAGGAAACACATGGAGGCACAGTACTCTACAAGAGTAGAGATTACAGTAAAATGGTTTTACGAGGGTTTGACTTTTGCAAGCAATAGGGAGGGAGGCCCACACCATTGCTAAATCAATTACTTTTTTCAATTTTAGAATCAATATACTGTATACAGACAATATTATAATCAATTCACTGCAGTCAGAATTCTCCAAGAAACTATTTTGTCACATAAAAAGGAAAAGAATGCACACACTAATGCCTGAATGAAATTGTATATTTACTGCATATCTAGACAGTGATTAGAAACATACCACATGTGTGATGGGCAAAGCGGCTAAAATCCACCACATCCAGTTCTGGAATGCATCCTCTATCTGCTCTTGAAGGACTCCAAATTTAGACAGTGTTGAAAAGGCACCTCTCTGAAAAAGAAAAATTTCATAGATTATAATATGCATAATTTGAAGTTACAAATATTCTACAGTTAAATTACAAAAACCTTTCCTATTACAAAACTACACTTGTAACCTTGATCGAGCTTTCCTTGGTTGGCCAGAACCTTTGCTGGATCAAACAACTTTGTAATGGATAAACATTCGGCGAGCTAGAGCCTACAAGGTAAGCCTTTCCACATGTCCAGTAAAAATTTACTTTCCAGTAATTTTTGTTTACTCTTCAACTGTACCATTTAATGTCCACTAAATGGCATTACAAAATTTACTGAATTTATTGGAATTTCTCATAACTGTACAGTACTTTACAGTACTTCGTCACTCAAAAATGTTTCAATTTAGTTTATTTGTAGAAATTTCATAAATTATCATTTGAGTGTTCAATGTTAAAGGAGAGAGAACTGGCGACAGTGAGGAGTTAGAAGAGGTAGCTTATAAGCGATTCATATTACAGCATAGCGTGATAGTTTGTAGTTTTTTAAATTATTGCATACAGTGCTACTACATTATATATCTGGATATTGCCCAAGATATCTACATCTGACCACAATAGCAAGGAATAACATGTCGTCTTAAAGATTAATAAAGTATTTAAATCTTTTCACATTTTATCTTTTCCTTATTTACCTTCTAATATGTATATTTAAAATGCATTACAGTAATTAAAAATATGGTTGTCTATATGTAAAAGATGTGTTCTATCATTTGGGATACAGAAAAACCAAACAATGGCAAAATGCTTAACTTAAATCTTGGCAAGCTGGATGGAATCCAACAATTATTCCATTCAAGCACAATTATTCTATATACAGTAGTACCGTATATAAAAATATATTATGATTCACAATGTCTAGTAAGTTACATAAGCAACTAATCCAGTACATAAGATAATACTGTACAGTACTTACAATGTGTTTTTTACCAAGTATCATTGCTGCTCTCCAGTGGGCTTCATTTGCAATTTTAGTCTGTGTAAGAAACTTATTCTGGGCCCCACACACAAGGGCAGCCACACAGTTGTAGGCATCCACTTCTGTTGACAAATCAATATGGCTTAAGCACTATATTCATCAGAAATTAACATCTCATTTTCAATATTAATATACAAGTTCTAAACATAAATACATAAACTTAAAAGCAAAACTTACCATCCATGTAATGGAGTAGAAGAGAAGTCACAGCATACAGTGATGGAGCGTATGTAATGGCTGGATGACTGAATGCAATGACCGAGATGATTCGCTCACAAGCTGTTACCCCTCTAGGCGAGAGCGACTGTGATATCTTGTGATTTGTATCGATGAATGCTGGCAACTGGACACTGCATTCCAAGAGTTCTGCCAATATTGATGTTATACATTAGGTCTCGATATGTTCTATGCTGACAAACAAATTAGAGAAAATTATCTAAATTACTGTACAACAGTATTTTAAAAAATATATATCATTTAGAATTCAAAATACAGCAAGTGTAAGGAGCATCAGGTACCATTCATATATTGCATTCTATGAAATGAAAGATAAATGAAACATTTCTAGAGCTGCACACTTACCGGTGGTCCCATAAATTTGCTTCACAGTGTCCCAGTAATAAAAGTCTCCAAAGTCACTTTCAGAGGAATGATAACGGCATATCTCACGCCAGAGGTTCTCTCGTGCTGGACTACCGAGACTCCAGTCTGTCTCCCGAACAATGCTTTTGGCCTAAAAAAGATAATTTTTTTTAATCAGCCTGCTATACATAATTGGTCGATATCTGCATTTGCAAGTTTAACAAAGATACTTTTGCATACACCGTGTACACACACTTAAAGTAACACTCCATTCTTCAAAAACTATAGTACTTATAGCTACTATGGATGGAATTTGTAAAATATGGATCCTTATAGCCCCTGGAAATTCACATTTTGTACTAAGAACTCTAAAATTTCATAAAACCTGAAAAAAAGGTTTGTGAAGCTAAGCCTACACAAGTAATATTAGGACAAATTTTGTCTATTCTGCATATTATACAGTAATTTGATTCCTGGGGCCCTATTTACTGCTAGTTAGGCGAGAGGAAATATGCCTAACCACTTATCCCACACAAGATTGAAACCCATGATTTTGACCAAGTTGAGAAAGATCCCAACTTTACTACCGAGACCCTCATAATAATACATTGTGTCGGAGAACAGACAGCCAGTGTGTACATATATTATATACACAGTACATATTAGGCTTGTATCGAGGTTTCCCCCAGTACCGTGGAGGGACCTTGATATACTGACATCCCCAGGATGCAACACCACAAGAAACTGACCAACTTCTGGGTACCTTGGTGAACAGGGGCACAGGTGGGGGAGGGACAGGAAATGTGCCCAACCATTTCTGTCCAGCCCAGGATTCGAACCAGAATATCTTTATCGTGAATCGAGAATGAACCAGATTGTACTACTGGGACCCTTATGTCAGCCCGTGACAGCTGACTAACACCCAGGTACCTATTTTACTGCTAGGTAACAGGAGCATATGGTGAAAGAAACTCTGCCCATTGTTTCTCGCCGGCGCCTGGGATCGAACCCAGGACCACAGGATCACAAGTCCAGCGTGTTGTCCGCTCAGCCGACCGGCTCACTGGTCGGTAAACTAAGCCTATAAATATTTAAGTTTGGGTTTTAGCTTTTTTTTTTTTTGAACTATAAAGTGAATAGTACCAAATTCTACCAATTGTCCATTACATCTATATATGTATGATGGTCCACATAGTTACAAAATATACTATCTAAACAAGTGAATGTGTTGACATATGGGGTAACTGCATAGGAATGCACATGCACACACTCCAGTCTCTTATTATTACCTCTTTCATTCTCCCTGCTTGCATCAGTGCTTCAATATCCTCCCACTTCGCCATGGTAGTCTCGTCGGCAGAGTGCGCAAGATTATGAACGGGGATTCGGGACATATCCACATGGCCCGAGAAAGGTGGAGGATTGGTAGGGGTTTTATCATCTGAGAGAGCTTCAGCATGATGCCCACCACCAACTGTCATCTTGATAAAGTTGCCAAGAAGTTTTACCTGAAAGAGATGGTCACCATAATAAGGTTACTGCAAGACAACCCAAGTTAATTACATTTTTACCGCTAAATAATTTTGCATTTTCTTCCACTTTTGTGCTATATTGCTTTTATGGAGAAGCAATAGTACAGTATTATGCAATGTAAATCCTCATACACTAGTTAGCCTGGTTAACAAGTGTTTAAATCATCATCATAAACATTTGATTGATCAATGATAATCTTCAGTAATAATTCGATGAATCCAGATACTAAAACTAACCTTGAGCAATACTAATCTTACAAAAACAGTGTCCATAATAAATTATTACATGCACTTTATTACTTCCAAAATAATATCTTTAGCCTATGAAAATGTGGACAGACAAATTTACATATGGCTATATTGTACTACTCTATACATACTGTTAAAACTTCTCTAAAGCTTACCTGCTTCTTTACTTCAGAAATGCGCTTATTTTTTGTCGACCCGTCAACTGGCCACTGTATAAAAGACTTGGGGTAAGCCGAAATGGAGATTGCCTTGCTGATACTCTGTAGATTAAAATCACAAGGATATAATTTTATTAAATGAAAATGTGCAAAGAAAGAATACACTACAGTACTGTATCTTAAAAATATTGTAAAGTATTAGTTTTAATGCCATAATATGGATATCTTGAAAAACTAGCAGTGTGCATATACGTATCAAGTTGATATAAATAATTCAGGGGGAATATAAATTCACAATCACTCTCAAAGTTAAATTTAGTCCAAAATGGGTTGTAATATTAAAATGGCCATTAAAAAGTATACAATACAAAAGAAAATTTTCCTAAAAGTCTCCAAACTTCATGTATTCACTCACTGACAATAAGGAACTTCCTAATGAAATTAACTCTCGAGTACAGCATGTACAAATTTAGAAACGAGAAGCAAAATTATACTTTAGGCAGAAATAATCTTAAATATTTAAGCAATGTGTGTCAAGACCAACTATGCATACCTTTAGCTGATTGAGATCAAGAATATCAGTTTGATTGTTGTTGCCAGCATCGTTGAGGTGATTCTGGCTAAAAGCAAAGCCACGTTCAACACCACTGTTGTCAGTTGGAGTGTCGCAAACGTCTGGGACCAAGCCGTACTCGTGCTGCAACGATCGGCGTCTGTTCTTCGGCTGGTTGATGTGATGGTCACTGCCACTATTATTTTGACATTTCTTGAATGAGCTTAACCGTGGTCGATGAGGGTGGCTGGTGTCCTCATGACTGGTAATGCCACGTGTGGCTGCAAAAGCCACAGGGTAAATATAGGCTATAATGTCATAGGACAACATTTTAATGATGTCGGAGACAGATGAATGAGGGCAACAGTAATGTACTAGGATGTTAAAAAGAAGGTACTGTAGGAGGTTAAGTGAATGTGATGTACAGGTGGCTGATTAACAGATGGCTATTTTTGAGTTTTATAAATTAATTAATGGCTCAGATTAATTTAGGGATTAGATTGATTGGGGAATTATTGCAACAGTGCTGAAGGAGGCAAGGTTGTGTAACAATGGGGATATAGGCAATACAAATTTATCCCCTAAAATAATAAAACAAAAAGCTAAAAACGGTGATGACCAGGTTTAAAAGATGGCTTTACAACATCTGCTGTGAATGCACTTTTGAATGATTTCACTATCAAAGTCTTTCCATTTCACTTGTTAAGTCTTCACAATATTTCAAAGTTTTATGAACCTTTAAAAAGTCTATTAGATTATTAAGTATCTGAAAAATATATATATAAATTAGATTCAGGTTACAATTTCTTGAGACTAAATAAAACACTGAACAGTACAAGTAATAAGATTCAGCAATGACAATTAACAAATCTATTTTTCCAGAAGTGTCTGGAAAGTACACTAGTAAAGTGTACACTAAAACACACTTTTTTAGTGTTTAGTTACTAAAACACTTTAGTACACTAAAGGTGTCCATTTATAACTACCTTATGTCAAATTACATAATTTAACAGGACAATATTGATCATAATGATTATTTTCAGTAGGCTTAATTAAATGATCAATGTACATTTTCTACAAATATACAATGCCAAAAAGGTTGTTCTTGAATGCATCACAGGTCAATCCACTTACTACTGGCTTCATGCACCTATCCGTACTTTCCGGTACCAGTTAGATTAGATATTGGATAGGTAAATTAATGGTCAAGTATGAATAGGGTTTGATAAAATTATGAAAAGGTAGGGTAAGATTAGAAAAACAAAAAGATTAGGCAAGGTTAGGCGTGGGCAAGGTTTGGGCAACGTTAGGCGTTTGTAAGGATTGGCAAGAGTATATTGGGGAAAGGTAGCGTGAGGGAAGGTAAAAATTATGAGCAAGTTGGAAGCAAGGATTACTGAACCTTCTGTGAGCACACTCGTGCCAATATCATGATAAAAATATAATTCTGCCCAGAATGGCGAGTATTAAATTATTCCATTAACATGTAATACTAAAAAAAAAAAAAAAGATATTTAATTAACCAGTATATGGTACACTGTACTGTTAAAGAGGTCTTGTATAACCTAGCTATACAAGTCGATTAAAATAAAACATGAACAGTACAATATATATATTTAGGTTATCCTACATAAATATATATACATATAGTCTCAATGGCTTGGAACTTTATAAATTAAATATCTAGGATAATGGATCTATGCTTCAAATTCCCTTTTCTTCCTGGAATACCAGTACAGGGATGACATTACTCCAAGAAAACACTAAAAATGCATCTTGGTGGGTAGCTTGGGGTACATAGTGCACATTGGCGCCTTTCACAACAGTGTCATTCCAATATATATCTATGTTTGCTCCAATCACTTGTACACAATCATCCACTTAAGTATGTGTAAACAGAGTACACATATTTTATCATTCTGGTATCACCACGAAATCAACACTATTAAAAATGCATTGCTAGAGAGAGAGCTGATGGGGGCAATGGTCCACACCCCATCACACTAAATCCTACACTAAAGGATGATATGCGAGAGATTGCTAATTGTTATCTTAGCTGAACATCACCCGATAACATGTACTGTATCTAATCTCACTTGTTAAGGCTGGTATAAAAGAGCAACGTCCTCCACTCTTCTCTCTGACCCGTGTTATGTTTCCCACCGCTTCCTCCTCCTATTCCGTTAGTATCGCTCTAATTACTAATGTTCATTAGCAGAGTTATTATTATTATTATAACACTAAATTTAATTGTTCTTGAAGCATTATGGGTAAATATTGTGGTAATTGTATTGTGTTGTCCCCCAGTGCGGCGTGCTACAAGGTGGCGTCTTGATCCCCTAGACTTTTCTTATTTACCAATGTACCGTATATGTTATTTACTCAAGCTTCCTGCGTCACCTTTCATATATATACATACTAAAAACTTTATTAACTAAATGTATAATCAAATAATTATGCCAAAGATAATAAAGCACCAATATGCACGTCTAAGGTCACAACATGTTCCGCTTTACGCAATACTGCAAAGCTTTCTTAATTAAGGGTTACATGGTGCAGAATTAAGGGGGCTTATATAGTCCCTATCTTTCAAAATATTAAACTAAAGACTAAGTTATTGAATGAGTTACAATTAAGGTTGAAATACAAGTGCTTACCACACGTTCCGACAGTCATGGCTGTGGTTCAAATGCCAGGATAACACAATAATGATATCTGCTGACCACCTTCTTCCTCGTCTTGTAAGAAATGCGAACAACAACAGCGTCTCGTAACAACGTGGCTTTTCCACTAGTATACGCCACGGTGTCTATTGTTAAACACGTAGAGTAAATCTTCAAACGAAGACTCGAATATCCTTTTCAAAAAGTTTTGTGTAACACTTTCCGGAAGCCGTCATACACTCACTTCAGACTGTCTCTGAACTACGAGGAAACCATCTTGCTCCAGTCTTATATAGGTGGGTGACAGCTGGCTGCCAGGCGGGATGCCGGATACCATTATTACTCCAACCTCTACAACCCTCCCACTTAGATCAAAATCATCTTTAAACTGGTCAAACAACAACTATATTATGAAGATGTTTCATAATATCTTCAAACAAGAAGATATTATGAATGAGAAAGAGAGCACAAGGGGTTGTTGTAAGAGGAGAAGGAGTGCACTTGAGCATCTGGTGACCACCTGACACCCGACAGATGAAAGTCGACCCTTGCAGTAGTTCTCTAAAACCACTGTTCATTATTTGTTGCTTTCAGAGTGTCTCAATGTTATTTGCTCTATTTCAGCTATGGCCAATCCGGCTGTTTAGAAATCCAAAATAAATGTTAAAAGCGAATAGGAATGGACTTGATGGAAATATGCTATCAACTGCGTCAACAAATCTATACCATATAAAAAAAAAGTCTAGGCGACTTCTATGCATCTAAAGTAGAAATGATTTGTTTAAACCGGTGAAGAGTGTCTGAGGTCATCCTTGACTCACCTACTACGTCTTATGTGTACTGTGTTCAGAGGTCATGAGGACCACAAGTACTCATATCTGTCTTAAGACATTTTAACTTTATAGTCTTAATATTAATATAAGATAACAGGTCTTTTGTATACTAATGACCATCGTTTTATTTTATTAAGAGCCCAACCGCCTCCTACCCTGGTAGAAAGGATAAAAATCGCATCATGTGCTCAGAGAATTCAATTTAAGTGGCATTAATTGAGACTCCATGTTACCTAATTACGTTGGACTCCTTAAGACATGTCGGCCACAGTTCTCAGCTTACTTCATAAACATGAGGATGGGCTGGCAAAACATCATTTGGCAAATACTATATTAAAAGCGAGAGTTGTTAGAAGGATTACATTCTGCAACCGGTTCAACAGGTTGGATTATATTTGTGTAACTGTCGGGATTAGAGGGCGTAACTGTCAAGAATAGAGCCGTAGCAGATTACAGGGGACGTAACAGTCAAGCTTACAATGACGTAGCAGATTACAGGGACCTTTTTTTTTGTATTTATATGTACAAGAGTTCTTCCATTCTTGCACAGCCACTAGCAAGCACAGCGTTTCGGGCAGGTCCTTAATCTTAATTTTCCTGGCGGGACTCGAACCCCGGGCCCCAAAGCGTGTGAGGCCCAATGTATTTTTTTTCCTGACGTATGCGTCTGTTCGGACTACTTATGAGTACGTCAGATTGACTACATCGTGTAATAAAAACTGGTAAAAATCAGAAATGTCAACTTTACATATTAGAGTTTTGGTCAGTTCAGACTAGGGTTGGGTTTGGCTATGTATTGGTTGACACCACCACAATACCTTATTGACCAGCCAGAAAATATACTTTAGTGCTGAATAAAGTTGAGGACTAGAGTACACTTAATGTATATTGTATAAACCCAGACGCGGAGTACACTGTTCCGTGAATAAATTCCCCTTGCTCGTTGGGTAGTTTGGTTCTGCTAACAATTATTATTTTTGAGTGCATCAATGAAGCACTAGAGTATTTAAGAGTGCTGCCATTTGAATGGAGGAAATGAATGCTATGCTTCTCGATGGGCATTGAGTCCACCACAGCTCACAGGATGGGCATGGGGTCCACCACAGCCCATAGGATGGGGCATGGGGTTCACCACCGCTCACAGGATGGAGCATGGAGTCCACCACCGCTCACAGGATGGGGCATGGGGTCCACCACAGCCCACAGGATGGGGCATGGGGTCCACCACCGCCCACAGGATGGGCATGGAGTGTTATAATAAATGAGCTAAACTTAACGAAATCATTTGGAGAGTAATCAGCTGTGAGTTGTATAAAGTATTTCTCATAAAAAACAACACAAAAAGCTGCTGATAGACGAGATTTTGGGCATTGATTTGAGAACGGATTGTACATCGTTAATGGGTTTATTATACGTAATTTAAATGTAAAAATGTAGATCTTAAACATCACTAGTTTCCAGATTTTACTGGAAACTTCTTACTTCTCTTTATTTAAAATCTTTAGAAGAGATTTTACTTCTCTTCTGCAGACAATGTCACAACACGGGACTGAAACATATAACCCAACCCCCCCAACACATAACAAATTCAATGAAAGTGAAGAGGTTTGGGCTTTTCTTGGACTTTTATCAAGTCTCGACTTGATAAAAGTTCAGGATGGACTGAAAAATCATAACTTACATTTCATGTGTGGGTTGAGTTATCTATTATTACTCTTATTTGCCCATTTTGTTTGGTCTTATTTTGCCCCTGCCACTCCGTCCGAAATGCTATGTATGTTAGTGGCTTTGCAAGAGTGTTAGAACACCACTGTTATGTACTCTCACAAACCCAATGTACCTTCTTGTATATACATAAATAAATTAATTAATAAATACATAAATAAATAAATAAATAAAATCAATATTTATACAAGAGTAAATATTTACATTTATTTAATGCTACCAAATAATCAAGTAACAACCTGATAAAGTAATTATAACTACGTTTATTTCAGCAAGCTTTTCCAGAGTGAGTTGAGCAACTTGAGTGAAAGTCCTCAGAAGTACTCTGTTGATGGCGTCGGCTAATTTACAGCCTACATCGACAACATTCAACTAATATCTTACATACTTTAATTTTTTTTTACAATATTTACATTTTACAAGGAAATTATATATATATATATATATATATATATATATATATATATATATATATATATATATATATATATATATATATATATATATGTGTGTATATCACGAAAATAAACACGTGATTAAGAATGTGACAATGTCAGACCACGGAGGAAAAATGAAACAGGAAATTTCCTTAAGTACTTTCGTATATTAAATACATCTTCAGAAGATGAAGATGTCACCTTCTGAAGATGTATTTAATATACGAAAGTACTTAAGGAAATTTCCTGTTTCATTTTTCCTCCGTGGTCTGACATTGTCATATATATATATATATATATATATATATATATATATATATATATATATATATATATATATATATATATATATATATATATATATATATATATATATTGATTTCAGTGATACCTCCTGTGTTATTGTAATTTATGAGCATGGAGCCTTGACATAAATCCCCACACTATGTTGTATGGATCAGCTGTGCTCTAAACTTAGCCTATGCCAGATAATCTCGACTTGAACCACTCAAGTATTATTGATAACAAACACTACGCTACTTAGAAATATTTACTCTGAAAATAAGACTTATCTATAACCTACTTTCACATCCTTACGCACAAGAGATTCATTCTCCCTTTCCCTTTGTGTAAGAACAAAAACTCCAGCCTTCCATCGCTGCCAAGCAAATATAGCTATCACCTGTGGTCAAGTGAAGGGAGGAGTGTAGTGTGGTGTAGTGTAGTGTAGTGTAGTGTAGTGTAGTGTAGTGTAGTGTAGTGTAGTGTAGTGTAGTGTAGTGTAGTGTGCTGTGGTGTGGAGTGGATTGAAGATGAACTTTAGTGAGTGAAGGTGGAGAAGTGATCTAAGATATTTGAGCACCAAGCTTACACCCACAAGACATTGCAGGTCCAATACTCCAAGTCAGTCAAATCCAGCCACTGGATCCACATCAAACACCCACCGTAAATAATAACATGCAACTGGATACTGGCCGCTGCATTCTCAAAATCTTTGATTTCCCATTTAAATCTTCCAAATGAAAACCCGGCTGAATGTTGCAGATATTATGTAGACATGTATTCAGCTGTATTTATAATAAAACACACCAAACAGTTACAGCAGCAGAGAAAAATCCTGTTATCTATATCTATAAGAACGTCTGTCTGTCTGTATGAAGGAGGCCAGGGGGCTTGCCCAAGTTGGACAAGCTTCACCCAACTTTGCAGGCAAATGGTCTGGGGTTCGGGACTGACATATTCTGGTTGGGCTCGGTCCTATTGTGAGGGGGGGGGCGGCCATAATAGTGCCCCCCCCCCCACCCGTAATCGGTAAAAGGTAGCTGGCCGAGTCCCT